ATAATTATTCCCCAGGTAACTTTTATCTAACCATTGATGATTGGGTAACTATGCGTAAGTACCATTTACGAGAAATATGTCTGTCTATAGTTTTGGCTATATGATGCTAATTAATGAATCAGAATGAATTCTTGTCATGGCGTACATGTGAAGGTTTAGAACCTGTGAGTCAGATTTTTAGTGCTTTATCTGTGTTCACATTAGTTCGGCATCCCGTTGGAACTTTATCATTTTGGTTACCCAGTGTGTCTTTTTGGTATTAATTAGAAGTGTTGAAACCTATAAACACCAAAATTGACAGATCCTATTTTACAGAAAGTAATTAAATATAAAAATCTCGTTTCACAATGTTAATTACCTTACAGTACTCCTCCAAAACGGCTTTACTGGTTTTGACTAAATTTTATATGTATATTCAGTAGATTTGAGCATGGGCTACTGGCTATTTTTGCCAGTGTGGTGAGGGTTGTTCACCCTTAACATTTTTTCTAAATAATTTGTATGGGAAAACATCGTTTGTCGGGTTAACTAGTAACGATATAACAATTATAATTAATTTTCTGGTAATAGGCATAAAATAGAAGTACTTACCTAATTTACCCGCATTGCCGTTGTTTTGGTACTAAAATTAACATTATTGTGAATCATATTTATGGTATTTGCGTAAATAAAACTGACACAGTTCAGTTCGCAATCATAATAAGAAATTCGCAAAAGGTGCACTCGACTTTATAATCTTTCAGTTGGCGTATCGATGTCGATAAGATAAATTATTGGGAACTGCAATGTTTACAAAACTATATTTTTACGACCAAAAATATTAAGGCCTATAGAAGGTTTAGGTTTATGAAAGGTACCTAATAAAAAAATAGAAATGTTTTTAATTGTAGGTAAAATAGGAATGTGAAAATAATTATAACCATAGCTTTTTTCACTAGAATTAGGTATTATGTACTTATACATAATTTACTGTACTGTAATGAACTGTGCCATAAAAATGCAACTGTAATATCTAATACTGTTTAAAGTATAATAAACTGAATGTATAACTTCTTTTTAATTTCAAAAAGTATTATTGCGAGAACATAAAATGTTCATTACTTGTAGACCTATTATTTATTTCTTTTATGCGTTAGACATTTAAAAGTCTCTGCTTGAATATATGTAAACCTAGCTATAACATTTGGAACCGTTTCTAAGATACGCGTGTCTTATTTAAGCATTGATAATTGGTTGAACCTAAATACAGACAGTTGTCAATATTAAAACATATATATATATAATTCGATTACATTCACTAGACCACAGGGTCTCGGACCTTTGGAAGTCAACGCGCAGAGCCCCGATGAAAAATTTTTATATTACTGAAATATTCTTTATTCTAATATCCTTTGGCATTCCTTTGTGCACTGTGGATGTGAACCGAAGGACAATCTCCAATTGATATACCTAGTAGAACAATTGAGAATAGTGGAAGAAAATGATATCTATGGTTGTTGGTAGTTATGGACTAGTAGCTATGGACAAGTAGACATGATAACTATGCGGATGGTTAGCCTTTGCCCCAGGCCGATATTAATACATACTGATAAACAGACAGGGGGTGACGGGCAAACTTCATTAATGGGCTCCCGGAAACGGCTGCTAGCACGGGAACAACATAGACGTTGAGCTGCTTTAGAAGACGCATCCCACAATTCTCAGGGCAATCCTGAATCTACCTACGGTCAACGACCCTACCGATACCCTACTGTGATAAATCCTTCCCCCGAGTCTCCTTCAACTCCTATTCATGCGAATGTCCATTCAAGCCAGCTAGTTGAGGCAAAAATAAGATCTTGTTCCTTATTAGTGTTCAAAGTAAAACAAGAGAGGAACAACGTTGAGTCAGGTCCGTGGGTTTGCCACCGCAAAACAGCTCGCTATTAGGCCTTGCGGATTCAATACAAAGTACATAATATGTATATACACACTAGCTGCTCTCGCGCGGTTTCACTCGCTGTTCAGCTCCATTTGATCGTAGCGTGATGTTTTATAGCCTATAGCACTCAGAAACCTTGTAGCTATCTATCAGTGAAAGAATTTTGGCCATCCGACCAGCGGTTCCAAAGATTACATACAAACTTACAAACTTTACCTCTTTATAATATTAGTATAGATATATACAATATACATGTATGTACATTGTACAATTATTATTATAAGTTATTATAATCGTTTAAATCTCAATGAACATGAACATTATGATATGTCATAAAGTTGAAAACGTTTTGCATAATAACCTGTCGATATTGCTTAATAAATTAATTAAATATACCTAGGTAGTACATTATGCATTTTATGGTTGGATAACTAATACTTGTTTGGCAATTATCAACGTAGGTACTTATACCTAGTATTTACACACCTAATAATTCAAAGATGTAGATATAAGGTACTTCTTAGGCACTAGTAGCTGGACGAACTTATCTATCTAGCTTCACATTGAAGACTGTTTAGTTATTCAGCACGTGACCGTATCACACATCTTTTGGCGTAAGTAGCAAACTTATTATTTTTTATTACTTTCGTCTGTCTCGGTGAAATTATCCTTCAATATCCAAAAATCTGAGAGGTCACAGAAACTTTCTCCAAATTATAATTGTTTCTCTTCAGCAAATATGGTATTTTATCTCGTACTGCTTCCGCATTTGTAGTACCTAGTCTGCATACCTATTTGCCTTATGATTGTGTTAGCTAGGCGTACAACGGTTCTTAACATTTTATTTACATTTTTGCGTAGTACAAGAAGTATCTATTCAAAGTAAGAAACAGGAGGCTACAATAAATTGCCAAGAAATTACCCGATAGTGGATCAATATAATGATAGCATTTTTATTGGAGCCGATTCGCTATTTTCTTCTATACAATGAAGCAATATCTTTCTTATTGTTAGCATTAATGGCTATTATGTAGTTAAGTATTTCAATTACTGAAATAGTAATCCCATAATCTCCTTTTACTTTTTTAAACTATGCTACAAATATTAGTTACTTAAACAAAGTTTAAAGTCAAAGTAGGTGTTTTTTTCCTCAAGTGTGTCTAATGATACACATCCGCCAATTTAGAATCATTGTTGGTAACCATTTTACAGAATAGCCAGTATGTTAACAACACGAACATATAAATAGCTAAAAAGAACAACATAACAGTTCCGAAGATAGAAATAATAATGTAAGTAAAGAATTAATTATTTTTAACCATAATGTAACAAACAGTGCTATGAAACGCGCTACGGAACCCTCTGTACGAATCGCAGTTGACGGGTTTTTATTTAATTAGCACCACAAGTGGCTATTAACTTAAGTGTCAATGATTGTCGAAATATGTACTTGATATCAATTGACACCTACACACTACTATAAATCAACTCCGTTATTTACATTCGATAGTGTTGATTTGATTTATTTGCATTCAACATCCATGTGATAACTGATCTCATTCAGTTTATTGAAATTTGTAACATATATTGATTATTTGTTTATTTTATGTAGGTGTAACAGTTTTTGGCAAATCCTGTTTTGATAGAAAGAAAATAACAAACAACGCTATGTCACTATGTCAGTGGTAGGATGCGAGAAGAAATAGGGCAGGGTATAAAACGAAGTGGAACAAATTCTAAATGTTACTGTGGCATTTGGGGCCGCCATAACGAACGCTGCCCGACAATATTGGGTGCTCTTCCATCGTTATAGCTTTTCATTGCTCTTGTGTTTGTGAAAAACAAATGGTCTTATAAACCCAGTATATTTCATTAATCATTTTATGTGACATTGAATATTGAAAAAGCAATACCTGCTTCCTGAGGTACAAAATAAATTAATAATAAATATTAAAATATCCTGAATAGAGGAAGGTAAAATATTCGTAAAATTAAACATATAAATTCCATACATTTCTAGAATACCTTGTTGTTGTTTAATACTTATTATTAGACACAGACTGCATGTGCAGTTATTTCTAAATATTTCTGCAATAGCGAAAGATGCAATAGTTTGAATAAACATCTGCTAGTGCTACGAACTCCAAGCTAGTTCAATGTCATTGTTATTTACTAACTCAATAGCCGACCCGCTTATTTATAACTTCGTTCGAAAATTTATAGACTAGGAGGCGATTTACCTTGATTTAGTATAATAAAAGTTTTTCCTATACAAATCTGTTAGTGTATTTGAAAATCCACATAGCCTAAGAAAAATAGTTGAGATATTGGCAAGCAAAATAAGGTTTTTTATGAAAATAAAAATGTTTTTTTTTTTATTTCTCCTGCAAGCTATTTAACGTTTAAATAGTTTATAAATAAATCTCTCAACACGACTAAACCAGCCGAGCGGGGAAAACATTTATTACCACACCAAAATTACTTTAGGTACGCAAGTGAATAAAAATCCGGTTAATCTGGTATGTTCAGAATAAACATTTAAAGGCTAGACGTCTATACAGCTACTTATAAGTTACGTAAAGGAGGCTAAAACAATCTGAACGTCCTATTGCCGGCCGCGGCGCCTTGTGCCTGTGATTTATCGTGTCTGCGACTTTCCCCTTATTGACTTTCCTTTCGTGTTTCAGCGTTTTTCTTTTTTTTGTTTCATTCAATTTAGTTGTAAAGGGCTGTTTGTGGCGGAGTTTTTTTGCGTTTCTATTTGACACCGAGTTGTTATATCCACAATATAAAGCTAAATGAAGTGATACCTATTCTGTAATTAGTGAGCTAGCATGACTGTTATGACTAAGCGTTGCATTGTTTATTATTGTTTACTCTTCCTTTTACCATTTTTATTTTATGTTTTTTTTTCTTATAATTACAACCGTAAAACATTAAATGGGTAATAAAGCGCGACGACTGTTTGTGGCTGATCTGGGAATACTTCCTACGATTATGGACTCTATAATCTCTTGAAAATAGACAAGATACCTCGTCGCCGATTATTTCTAAATTATATTTGTTTGTATTATTTCAGGTATAGCATTGCGACCGTTTGGCATCTCATTAGTGTATCTGCTGCTCTTTTTATTATCACCATTCACATTTGTACCGGACAGTCGAACATTCAAAGGTAAGAATATCATATTATTATTTGTTATTTTTATATTATTTTTGATAAGTTGTGAGGTTTCTCGTTACAATAATATTGCGCAACTTTTCTTTTCCGCAACGAAACAATAAAATCATAGATATAAGAAAAGAGTTTGTCTGTTTTTTATATTTCTGTGAATAAAATACAAATTACTTCATCTTAGTACGAATCGAGTCCATTCGTATTGGGATAATTTTTAGCGTAAAAATCTATTGGGGCCGTGTTTACTTATAAATACTTTACCTTATCTGAAGATTGTATGAAACCTAGTTGATTGTTGTGTTTGAGTTTATAAAGTAATTTTATTGATAGATTTTTAAAAATAGAGGTAAACATTTGTACGTCTTTAGTACTAAGTATCATATGTAGTTTTGACATCAGACATCTAATACCGTTAGGTATTACTTAGGTTATTAGCCCTACCAATATTATAAACGTATTAATGGATTGGAAAACACTAAAATTATGTTGGAATGATACATAGGCAACATTTTACCCCGGTACTGATGGCGAAGCCGCTGGTAGAAGCTAGTTTTCTATACCTAAGCAGGTAAAACTCTGATACAAAAATGTACTTTACTAAGATTCGCCGACTGTAATACCTTTTTTACGACCTTTAATCTTGTTTCCTATGAAAATACATAAAGACAACAACAACAGCCTTATTAGAAACAAGGTTTTTCTGTAGTCTAGGTCTAAAACATTATGTCAGTTTTTGTATTTTGAATCTTATTCCCACCTATTTTTTTTTATAAAAAAACGTTGCCCCACACTAGGATTTTCTCCTGTGTCGTGGGTGCGGTTACAAACATACAATTTCACATACCTACACATCACACCCCGACCCGGACCAACAATTTGTGGATCAAAGAGTTGTTGCGTGCGGGAATCGAACCCGCGAAACGTTGCCCAGCCACCGCACCAAACGCGCTGTCACCTATCTTAAATTTAAAATACTAAAACTGGCTCAATGGATTTTTTGTTTTGTAATGAGGGAACAAGGTATTTACTAATGTCGTAAAAAAACCTTTTTTGTTTCAGGATGGCGCGGCACATATTTATTACTGACCGTAGTGTTATCGTTCCTGTTGCTGTTCCTGCACATAGCGTGGCACACTATGCTTGCAGTGTCCGCTCCTTATGCCTCCATCCTCGAACAATATCCTATACTCAACAAAATTGGCCACAATCTAGGCTTCGTGTCTTACTCTTCAATAGACCCGCTTCTGGCCGTACATTATATGCTTCCCGAGGTAATTATAATGTTAATCTTACTAATATACCTAATAAATGCGAAAGTTACGATGTTTGGATGTTTGTTACTCAATCACGCCACAACGGGTGGACGGATCTGGATGAAATTTGGCACAGGCATACTTTTTATCAACATACCACGCGGGCGAAGCCGCTGGCGGAAGCTAGTTCAAAGACAAAAAATAATTAAACTGCGACTAGCATCCCCAAAAATAATAATCGTTATGTGTTTGTGATTAGAACTAGGTATAGTGTTTTTGACAATACCCAAATAATTTTGTTTTCACATTTCAGGTTTTAATGACGGCGATATCTCTCATCTTGTATGTGCTAGTCAAAAGGTTGGTGACGGGGCCTAACGTGTCGTTACCAGCTAAAGCTGACAGCAAACATCAACAGTATCCACTTGTAACAAGTGCAGGTAAACTTCAAGATGGCAATTTAACTTTTACTGTTTATGACAAACAGTAAAAGTATCATAGTCCATATAGTAAATTAAAAAGCGATACTTTCACAGGTGTTATTATCGTTACACTTTTTAAAAACAAAAGAACAGTGTTTTAGGCTTTAGTTCCTACCTGTACATACTTCACACACTATGTTGCAATATCACCTAAAAATAATAGAATGTTCTTTCTGGCAAGTGATCTAGTTTGTTTTGGAATTTCCAGGGAAATACATCTGCCTGATATTAATAATGTTTGCCGCCATCATGCGACCGAGCGTTACATCTGGGATATACTTCCTCGTGTTCATGGGATCAGCCACAGCGTGGGCACTGGGTCAACCGCTTAACCGAGGGTTTGCAGTCGTCTGTCGCTGTGTGATGGCCATAATGTCGGTCCACATCATCGTGCTATTAGTATACCAATGCTCTTGGTTGATAGAACTATATCCGCCCGAAAAGGAATTTGCTAGGTAAGTATGTTACACAACGGGTTTTTTTAAATGACACTCGTAGGACTATGAGTGAGACATTAACCATAAGATGTAGGCTCAATAAGTTATATCAATTTACAGGTATTTTGGCTTAACAAGGCTGGTTATAATCAACGATACGAATCCAACACTCTTTACTTACGAAGTATTGGACGACCACATGTGGGCTTCACTAGCGAGCCCTTTTGTCATACTATTCACTTATTTCGTTCTCGCAATCGAAACTCGACAACTGTTCAAACCCAAGGTATGTATGCATACTCATTTAAGCACAGTAGCATTGCATTATAAGGTAACAAACCATATATTGAATAACACAAATAATACCGGCTATTATGCTTCTTAAATAATATGAGATTGGTACTTTGTAACACTAATTTTAATCTGCTAAGATATTGGCTGCTACTAGTACTGTATAACTGCGACCTTATACTATTTGTAAATAGTTATAGAGGTAAAGGATGTTACGATAAATATCTTGTATAGTTTATGGTGAAAGATAGTGATTCTTGTATTTGACTTCTAATATTTTTGAAATGTCTAGCTGTATTCAAGTTATTAGAACCCATTTCTTATGCTACCTAACTGGGAACGTAGGCGAAAAAAAAGAGCGCCCTATCCGGCTTGGAAGAGGGTAAGCTGAACGGTTCGTTGGTGCGAGGCATATCATTCCACCGCGGCAGTCGACGCGCCGCTCGGGATAAATGGAAGAGTGCTACTAAAAGAGTTCGAGTAAGCTTCCCGCGAATAAATCACAGTGTCTTTTGTCGTTAATGCACATATCCATTTGTATTTACAACATGTAGTTTTTTCTGCGCATGTAGTGATTAGCTGCATCTTTATTGAAAGGCACTTAAAAGTTATTACTGTGTAAATTATTTTTCAAACGTAGTTAGTGTCATTTTGGTAGCACAAATATTTCTTGATTCAAAGTCCTTCTTGGTTCATCAATTATTTTGTACATAAACTATTGCATGGCACTTTCTTGTAGATAATTTTGTAACTAATTAATAACCACTCAAAATTGTGGGGACACAACTACCATGGACAAGGCATGGGTGCTTCTGCTGTGCACAATCCTGGAGTTGATTTTGGTTTATCATTTCAAATGTTCATTGTAAGTAATTACTTTTTTGTTTGTTTTTGCAACTAGCTTTCGTTCTTTTATAGGTTTCACTTTCATACGTAAATACCAAAGCACACCGCAGTGAAGCCCGTGAGACTGACCCTGTAGGTATCTTCCTTTGTTTTTATCTATGTTTTGTGTTTGTGGGAAACTGCGGGTATTCGAGCCGAGAAATACAATGCTTTGTTATACAAATTTTCTGATACTTAATTATAATTTTTTGTCTAATGATTTATTTTTATCGGTCATTGTCATACATTACTGTATTTTCCTGTACTGCGAGAGGACAAAAGCAATACTATGACATATATTTTGAGACATCCCTAATGACATGATAGATGTATTAAGTATTTTGTATTTCTTGGCTAGTTATTCGCAGGTAATTAAAACCTAACTATGACAGGAATATTATAAATCTCTCGATATAAAAGAGATCTTTAAAGCTTGGTTCACTTATTGATTTTTATTGGCATCATCGTTCTAACCGAATATATTATTTGTTGTACACATGCACTAACATTCCGTTTTTAAGTTTGTTAACATATGTTGATGTTGTAGCCTATGGCTGATTGTTTTTTTGTGAGAACTCTTTGAAATATGTAGATATGTTCCGTTTCCTAGTTTTTTAAAATTAAATAAATATCTACCAATAATAACTACTTAAAGTATAATGTTAAATTCACATTTTCGAAAATATTTAAATAGGGGAAACAGTGTAGTTATTGGCCACTTAAGCGACTTCAAGACATAAAACTTTAAATAAAGTTTAAACATTTTGTAGAATATAAATTAAAATTATGACATCGTTTCATATTATCTCTTTATTAGATTGGGAATCTTACATATGCTTATCTCAATTAAAACTGGAATAAAATTAACAAAAAAATACAAAATACTTAAAATTATAGTAATTGGCCATAAAATTGTAGTTATTGGCCACAGTCACACAGTAATTGGCCACCGCGAAATATAAAATTTAAATCAAAACTTAAACAATTCTAAAAAAACGAAAACAAATCTTCTTGGGGATCTCCAATTTCAAAAGACTCAGAATCATAGTTATTCAATAAAAAACATTTATGGCACACAAGTTCAGCCAGCTCATAGGCATCCGGTACGTGCTTCGTGCTTGCTTGGAATGCACTGACGATGATAATAATTATTAGAATAATCACATAATAGCGATTTATTTTTAGCAGCTAGACGTTGGCAAATATTGCAACGCAAGTAACTACTTTTATATTTGATAATATCTCCGGTTTGCTTTCAATTTCTGTTTCGTTTTCTCTTATTTTAGGGGGCATTATAGATTTAGGGTAAAAATTAACAAAACGTTAATTTTTACCCTAAATCTGTATATAACGCATAACAAGACACTATTTTATAGACTTTGCATAACGGCACTAGTACATATACTTCATAAAATATTGAAACATTAAGAAGAGAAGTCTTAATTATTTTTTTTAGAAAATTACTTATTTGGTTCTTCCCCGCAAAATATCACACGGAAAAAAGGAACATGTTTATCAAGCGGAAGATTGTGACAACTATTTGACAGAGAAAGAAAGTGTTGCCATTAATATGGATTTAAATCTACTATTCTGACAGGCTATAGCTTATTTTAGGCCGTCAAAGTTGAAATGGTCAATAACTATATAGGGGCCAATAACTATGGCGTTTCCCCTAGTTGAATATCCAATAAATAGTTATCGATTATTCTGCCTCATATCTTTATACATGTTTAGCTTATTCGAGCGAATTCTTCGAAACGATGGACAGTCACACCGACCGTATCTTCAACGAGACAAATTCGGCAAGACTCTACTGGCTCCGTTGTACTACATGAAGATGGTAAGTGGCCATTGATTTCCATAATTTATATTATGTTATGAAAATTAGAGGGTCTTTCCTTTAATTTAAAATGATAAGAATAACGTGCACCTTTCTATGTCTTACGCTACCATTCGTTTCTGTTACAGAATCTGCAATAGAGGAAAGTGAGCCCACCTTGATCGACGATATTTTAACAGCCATCGTGGATTTCTTCCAAGTTCTAGTCAGGTTAGTATTAACAAGTAAGCTATTGTATTTCTAATTTAATTTTAGAACATTCTCACAGTTTGCGCGAAAAACAGCTTTGCCCAGATTTTGCGCATCTATTGCGCAAACCCGTTTGTATTCTTTAACAATATATTTATTTGCAGGTCCTCGTACATTGCTACGACGATCACAATGATGGCTTGGAGTATTATGTTCCATTCGTGGCTGACCTTCGTCTTTCTCATGTGGGCCAATATTGTGTGGCTCTGTCACGACCAGCGAGGTTTTATGCTGAAGACCAGTCCGATTCTCGTCTGCTATGCGATGTTACTGCTTATAGCACAATACATATACGGCATGAACCTCTATGAGTCAGAATTGCCCAGTAACATCACGGTAATACTTATTTATTTTAACATTATTTCTTATAGGAATGCTGTATAAATAACATTAAAATATTTTCAAAAGCATGAGTGCTTTCAGCTTTTGTTTATCAAACATTGATAGAAGTTTGGTCGAAACGAAATTCGCACTCAAATAACTCTCGCTTTAAAGATGACACACCTTAACCGAACATGCAAGCAGTAAAAATCGTATTTTAATCTTCTATTATACTATTTTCAGGAAGTGAATCTCCATCAGATCGGTCTAGGTCGCTCCGAAGGGGAAGCGTTTGTTCCCCTATTGATCAAATCTTTGTTCACGTGCATGTTTTGGGTGACGTTGCGCCAGCGCATCCAGGACATGAGACAGAGGCGGCAGTCCTCTGTCATCGCGGATATGGCGGCTCCCCTACAACTAACTGCTTCCACTGCAGCTAGTGGTAAGTCCGATCCAATTATCGTCTCTAATTTCTAAACCAGGTTTTCCAAAATATATTTTGCAAGAAGATAAGAAAAGTGTAGAAACATTATTTTGATGTAAAAGATCCTTTGAATTGTTCTGGTAATTGTTTTATTTTCTTTTTATCTCTACCCTGGGACAGGTCTTGTACACGGTAATATAATGCTAAGTATTTTATATTACAGTATATGTTTTCATGAGTCCTTCTCATAAGGAAGCAACATCTTTGAGTTTTTGTCTTGTTTTCACTTTTTCAGCTAAAACTATAACTGCTTTACACCCTGAACTCTATACAAGTTACTTTTAACCAATTTCTAGTCAACGGACACTGGGTTTTTTTTACACTAATTCAAGCTTAGGACTATATATTTAGTATCTGTCAATTTTTTGAATCAGCACTATTTAAATTTACGTTTCAAATTCACCCCTGAATTCATACGCCATAAGCCTTAAACTTTCTTATCAATATAAAGGCGAAGCAGACGTCAATCGACAATATTTGTTTGTTTTATATAATGAAGGTCGTTGTTAAGAGGAATAAATTATTTTAATACTGTAACTAAGGAGTACAGCTTTGTCAATAACCCTGTGTCTGTTTAGTAATGGACGCACGGCGTGAAGAGGAGAGTCGTTCTCGTCTGTTACGCGCACTGGGCGAGATTATGCGAGCGTTGTGCGCGCGATACTGGATCTATGTCGTGGTCATCATGCTATTCGTCATCGGCGTCACCGGCGAGCGCATGACCATATTCCGCATCATTTACATGTTCCTCTTCCTCGCTTTTATACTTATGTTCCAGGTAAATATTTGTTTACATATTGAACGACTACGATAAGGATTGAAGGTTTTAAACCAATCTCGTATTCGAATATTAAAATTGGAATGAAAGATTTTCTAGAATGAAACTATTTTAAATTAGATATTATATTGTCCTGATTTATCACTTTACACAAATTGTGATTTTTTGGGCTAATGTAAAATATTTGCGAGTGATATAAATATTTTGTTTTCAGATAAGTTGGTATTGGTGGCGAAAAACATTGTACATGTTTTGGATAGTGGTCATCATCTATTCGATGATAAATCTTATTCTCATCTACATTTATCAGTTCGACAACTTTTCGAAATTAATTGAAAAATATTTGTTGATTAACGAGAGTTTGTAAGTAGAAATGTCTTGAAAATTTCCCTTAATTTTTAATTTAGATGCCAATGAAATAAGTTGTAATAATGTATTTGATATTTTCTTCCAGGCAACAAGATTTGGGATTAGAGCCGTATCATCCAGCGGATTTGTTTGTCAAACTATTAACACCGACATTGTTCCTTATCATAACAATATTGCAGGTCCATTATTTCCATAAAGATTTTATGGCTTTGTCTGATCCTAAAACGAGGTGAGTTTTTATTGACAAAAAATGAAATACAGTTTATAATTTAAGTATTACTATATTACGATATAATGTTATCTTTGCAGAACAAATAGCTTAGCAGTCAATCAAGCAGAATCTGGTAAACCAAGCCAAGATGGAGCATCAACGATGAGAGATGATGTAAGTTATAGAATAGAAAATAAGCAACGTCTCGAGTTAAAATAAGTATTCTAAAAGACTAATTTCTCAATATGCTGAAAATTTTACATTTTAGTTACCGCCACTACCTTTAGAGGATACGAACCCACGTTCACAAACTGCCACGGAACCTGATCAGTCATTTGAAGTATCTTCAGTAAATACTGGTCATGCCAAGTCATTACAAAGGTCAGCTTGATTTTTATAAATATTTATATACATTGTTTTGGTTATAGCATTAGTGAAAATGATGATCTTGCAAAGTGTGAGGTTTAGTATTTAGATTTTTTTCGTTGTCCCAAATTTTACTTATGTATATGCATTACGGTGCCTGAAGTAGGCGTTTACATTTTTTTTTGTACATGTTAAGGCATCAAGTTTCTTCTCTCGCAGACTCTTACTGACTAAATCTATCTCTTTTTCCTTCTCCTGCTCCACGCCGAAGTCGCAGTTCTTGGCGCTTGCCCCGCAATCCCAGCTGGCTAAATAATTGACGAAATTAAGTCCTGCTTTAGGCTTTATCATTACCATCTGTGTATATACTGTCATCGTATGTATTACCACTTAAAACCAGTATATTTGTGTTTGCAGAGAATATTCAACGTCCCGTACAAACGTGCGGTCACCGGTTACAGACCGACCATCAACTGCGTTGTGGTCGTTGATCAAGCGCACTTACAACGCATCCAAACACACCGTAATGGAAGTCATCGACCGAATCTTTATGTACTTGGACCTGCATCTCATCAAGATCGTCTTTATATCATTGATGCTGCTTTGTGTTATGAATGTAAGTTATCCATGTTTGTTTACTTCTAGTCTTAAGCATGAGGTATCTAATATTATTACTGAAAAAGAAATTCCGCAATGCCCAACTAAATTATCAAAAATGTTATTCGATTAGTATTATGCCTTTACCAATCACGAATGAGAATGAGCACCTGGCTTTACTATCGTAATGACTGACTATTATTTTATTTTACGTTTCAAAGTACCTTTATGATTTAGTTGGCTTAAATGTTTCTGTTACTTTGAAAATATTGTTTCTATTATTATAGGTATGTGCCATGCATGTTCCCATAATGGTAATGATCGCACCTGCATTGTGGCTCAATGCGTCGAAACAACGAGTCTGCGTGCTCTTTATATCGACACTAATCAGTGTGTATTTTATGGCTAAAATGGTTTACCAGATAGGCTACATCAAGCATCATACGTTTGACGTCAACTGCTCATCTGACGACGTAAGTGTTTAACCAAATAAATAACTTTCTTTGTTTAACAATTTAAACGCAATACTATATGTTTCTTTTTCTTTTACAGGTTTTCGATGCCAAATCATCGAATGTCTCGATATTCAACAACGCTGAATGGCTAGGGTTCACGAAAGCTACTAAAGATAAGCCTCTAGTAGTCGTCCTAAAGGGATACATTGGACTTTTGGCCGTATTCATTTTCTATTCACTAGTGACGTATAGACAAAAGTCGCTAAGGTTTGAAACATTCCATTTACATATTTAGTAAATACTTTCTTTTACTTTGTTTTTGTAGTCACACTTTTTTTAATTTATTTTAACAGAGATTCTGGTGCTTTACCAAAAGAGAGGGTCAAAACTATATTCCCAGATATTTCTCGTAAGGAAGCGGACGTGGATTTGGTTCACTGCATCAAGTACCTAATTAATTTTGGATTCTATAAGTTTGGCGTTGAGGTGAGCTCTAGCTGCACGTAATATAATTTGATATTTGGGGATGTCATCATTTAAAGGCTATAAATGCCAACTATTTACAATTACGATATTATTATGTGATATTAATTAAAATAAAATATTTGTTACAGATAACAATGATCTGTTTGATGGGCGTGATCGGATCTCGTATGGATGTGTACGCGGTTTTGTACGCGGGTTGGTTGCTTGTACTCGTATCAGTAAATCGAGTGACTCAGAGCAGACTGTGGGGTACATTCACAGCGACTCTCACATTCCTCATACCTGTCCAGTATATGATTGCCGTGGGCTTCCTACCACAGTTCTGTGTCACTTATCCTTGGGACGCCGACGATCAGGTAACAAAATGTATTTTTTTATTTGTTCCTAATACTTACAGTAATATAAAAATTCAGAAAACCCCCCAACAGAAAAAACATAAGCTACCTTTAAAACTATATAATACAACAAAATCTTAATTGAAAGCGGTTCATTCGTTCAGGAGCTATGATGCCACAGACAGACAGACAGACACGTTAAACTTATAACACCCCTTTTTTTTTGCGACGGGGGTTAAAAAAACTAATAAAAATACTTCGGTACTGTACTTGCACTTGTATAAGAAATAATTAAAATAAATGTATAATCACTACGTACTTGTGAAGGGGAAAGAAGATTATCTTTAACTCACTCCTTAGAGGAATTTAGTTACATGAGTAGGATCCCTGGTGAGGCGTAAAAATGATGTCATTTCTAGCCATTGATCGATCCTGTTAGGTTGTCTGCGGAGCCTTACGCGAAAAACTTAATCTTCAATAAGCCCTATGACTATTCCAGTAGTCTTCTTACTTAATGTATTACGAACTTGAATTGTTATAAATAGGTATTATAATAAATTGAGGTATAATTTTGATCCCTATTTATTTTTAATTTATGTTTTCGTTCGTAGATGAACTCTTTAGCCGATTTGTTGGTGAGAACATTTATTTTCATTGTACCGTAATCAGTATATTTTGATTCGTAATGATTGCAATTTGTGAAAGTTTGCATTTGTGTAAATTAGATTATTTTCGCAAGTAGTCGTCGTTAGTTTTAGTAGTAAAAATAGTTTTAAGTGATATTTTTATCTTAGTATCAAAGTCTCTACCTTCTGACACTTATTAAAATATAATGTATTAATTGCTACCAATAGCTATTGTTTATTGGGATCAAAGTCAAGGAATTGTTCTTAAAAAAATTGTTTATGTAGTTATTCTTTAGATAGGTTCATTATAATAGTACATAATTATAATAGCAAACTTAAGAAACCCATCACATTACCATAAATTATATTATGTTTTAATTAGTAGAAGGCATAAAGAATCTGCTATGATAATCAAATTTTTAATTAAAAATATTTTTTGCAGCAAATGAAACATGTCCGCACATGGTTGTTCTTGCCATACGCGGAACAACCTCCACATGCCTACAAGCTGATCTTCGATTTCTTCCTATTATTGTTCGCGACACGTCAGCTTAAAGTGTTTCGTATTGAAAAGAGTTATAGCTTGGGTTACCCCGGAGGTTCCAACGACGAGAATATTGGTAAAAATTGGGAAACGCCCGATTTCGTTAACCCTGTACCCGATTTTCTTGGTTATGTTGGGTTTGTATTTTTTTTTTTGTACTCTTGAGTAAGACAAGTAAATTGTATACAGAGCTATTCTTAAGCTTATTTCTTAAACTTGGTTAAAGCGTGATAAGCATTTCACTAAAATACTCTACTTCCCTTTAAATGATCCCTAAGACTGACTTCCAACTCTAATAGTCGACTGTTTATAATGTTATTTTAGAAAACTTTATTAAATTAATCATTTTTTATGCTTTTATTTTTTTTCTCATAATAATCTTTTATATTCTCCTTATCAGGACATGGCTGGACGTTGTGAAACGTATGGTGTTCCTGGGCATGTTGTGGGTGACCCTGGCCATCATGTTTATGACGGGCACCAACCGGGTGAATCTATTTTCCATGGGATATCTTATAGGCTCCTTTATATTCCTCTGGCAAGGAACCGACTTCTACTTACGTCCTAAACATGCTATTTTGAAATGGTAAGTGGCGTTTATTGTATGGTAATTTCTTGTGTATTAAATTATGTAAACATAAGTTCATATAATGATTGGTATTTTATCATAAAGTTTAGTATAGAGAGCATTCTTTTGAGCTCCAAGTTTACCTACCTACCTAGCTAACTAACTAACTCTGTCGGTCTCTCTGTCCATCATCCATGTGAAGCATAAGTTCTTTCTTCATAGCAGACTTAAAGACAGTTCATACTGAAAACACAATTTTTTTTACATTTCCCACAAATAAATATAATAAACAGTGAGATGAGAGTCCACCACTGATATTAAAAAAGAATCTCCTCTTTTTTAGTTAAAAAGGATTATCCAAGAAGGCAATTTCTTCGCAGCTCTGTCTCTTGAACGTAGTAATTGTCTCGGAAAGATAATTTCAGTTGATTTTTTATGTAACAGGTGGTCATGGTTAGTTCGTTACAACGTGTCAGTAGTTGTGGTGAAGACGTTGCTCCAGATCCCGGGCTGTATATTCAGCTCAGTGATGCAAGAACACGCCTGCTGGCTGGTCCAGCTACTTGGTATCGGGTGTGTCGACAAATTCGCTGGAGGCAACATCGCTAGGTTCCTTAAAATGCAGTATGTTAAGGTAAGAATAGATTTTTAAGAAATGCGTTGTTCTATTAAAAGCTATAGTCGGGTACTCAGTATTTACTTACAGTTTTAAATAAGCTTATCTCAGTATTTACTTACTGTATTTGTTTGATTTAAAATAAACGTTGATAGACAGAAAAATGAATTAAATTTAAAACAACATTTCATTAAATAAAAAATAAAAAATGGTTCAGTGCGTTAAACGTGCAATCTATGTAGTAGATCACCTAATTGTAAAGCAAACAGCGCCGTCTATGAAAAACCGCGACACCAGACGAGTTATAAATGCGTTGTCAGTCTTTAGGAACAAGCCATGTCAGATTCGAGACATTATATTATCCATAAAAAGTTAGCACTATTTCATTGATTTAACAACACAAAAGTTTACTAATTAATAATTGTTTTCGTGCTTTTGTAGGAGGCGGCCTGTTCCGTCCCTCAAGAAGATATAGGATTAGCATGGGACGGCGTTTGTTTCGCCTTCCTCATATTACAGAGGAGACTGTTCCACAGCTATTACTTCTACAGGGTTATCGACGAAAGCAAGGCCACGACAGTACTAGCTTCGAGGTAAAATATTTTTCTTTATTGTCCTACTACAAGCGTTACTGGGTATTATGCATAATTAATTTATATTATTTAATCTTTAAATCGATTTTAATTTTTATTAATATAGAGGTGCAGAATTAATAGAGGAACTCCGGCAAAAGCAAATGAAAATACAAGAAGATCAAGAGACGAAAATCTTAGAGAAAATCAAAGTGAAAATGGAAAGGATAAAGGCAAATCAGAAAAAGATACAAGGAGCAATGGCGAAGGAGCCGGCGCATCATGATATTGGTTTGTTTTTATTTTATTTTTTCGCGTAAGAAGTGTTGTTTATTATGAAGGTTCCAGTTAATATGCTGTTTGTTATTTTTGACAAAAATTTAGATATAGGTGATATCCAAAAATGTTCTTATATGATTGTGATTGATGGACGTAGAAAAAAGATCCTTCCAATATTATATTATACTATACTTACATACATTAAACATGAATGGTTTGAACGTCACACAACTAAGAACAAATGACGGGTTTAAAAAGATGAGATGAAGAATAATTTTTTCGTGACCCTTTTCTTCGCGCTGCACTATTGGATCAGACGAAGAGGAAGAAACTATGGCGGGCGAATCTGAACAAGTGGCTCTCGTGCGCGGCGAGTCCGACGCCTCGGGACGCGGGTACCACACACCCGACAGCCCCGCTTCGCCGCGCGGCTTCCACACGCCGCTCAGCGAGCCCTCCGCGCCGCCTTCTCCTGTGCGAACCGCGGCTCCCCCGCTCTCCACCCTGCCAGCCCTGCCGATCTCCTCTGCCCCTGTTTCACAAGGCGGCCCGCCCTCTCCGTCCTCGGCCCTGATGACCGTATCCCTAGACGCGTACCTGGAGCCCCGGCGTATCTCGTTCGAATCGCCGCCGTCGTCGGAGCTGCTGGCGCGCGCGACGAGCCCGGAGGAGTCGTACCCGGTGTTCTCCCCGCCTCCCATCCGGCGGCGGCACACGACGGCCAGCCCCAGCCTGCAGCGACACTCCGTGGTGTCGCAGTGCAGCCGCGTCGAGCCACACTCGCACCACACCTGTAACGACCTCACGCTCCCTCGCTGCCTACTGACTGCGAACTTTTGTTATTCGATCACGACTACTTGAACATACACCGTCCGTGTCACCGTGTATATAATGTATAGCATATTTTTTATAAACTTATACTATATGTGTTTTTCCCTTTCGTTTAGGAACAGAGTCAGGTTCCGAGAAACGAGGTAAACGTGTGTTCTCAAAGAGACACGAAGGTAAATATTCGTGGTCTTCCCCAGGGTGTTGGAGGTGTTTGTTATAATATCCTTCACTGTGCGCTGGTCGTTCGAACTGGAACTTAAGACATGACATTTCTTTTGTAAATAATTGACTCCTAAATAGTCTTTTATTTACATGCTAAATCTATACTTTCCGATTCCATTTGACTATAGTAAAATAGACGCAAAAAAATCAATGAATCTTTTAAAATTACCAAGACATTGTATTTAGGTAGACCCACTTCAGGGAGGATGACATCAGGCCATATTTATCATGTCTTACCAGCTGTGATGTCCATTTTAACTACTAGAAGTAGCTTTATTAATAATTTCCTGTTTTTGGATGGCACATAACTGTTAAATGAAAGGTGTTAATACTTGTGAATACTAAGGCCACTTGTAATAAATTCGGTTGGTGTGCGAGCTGCTGTTGAGTAATGCTTTTCTCTTGTAGCGCGGGACAGAACGTCGTATAGGCCGCCAGCAAGCCATCAAAAGGGTAAAGTTCATGAACAAGGCTCCCTATAGAATCGTAATGCGTACTAACCTCTCCTCGGCTTGTCGGTTACAGTAATTAGGCAGAGTGCATCGTAATGGCGGGAACTGTCTTATTGGTTTAATGTCTCATAGAACGTGTACATTTTGTATTAAAGTGGAATGTTGTAAATAAACAGACTTAAGACAGAATGCGCCGGTTGTCGGCTTTATATGTTCGTGCGCCTGTTTGTGCCATAGTCGAATGTCTGCATGCTACTGCTATGTTACCTACACTTGCCCACTTGCCTGTACTTCTAACTACACACTGAACACAATACTGCATGCTATTTGGCCGTTGTTGCAACTAACATTTTGTTTTTTTGAACTTATTATGTTGTGTGTGACTGTAAAAGATGTTAATTTATTTTTGTTCCTGCATTTTAAGCATGATTTTTATAGAATGTTCTAGAATTATTTAAAAAGCTTGTGCTGAATGTATCCTTGCTAACTGCTTACTATTTATCTGATAGGCGTAACCTGATAAAATTGCTGTATTGTCAAAGTAAGGATAAGTACTGACTGCTAGTACCTATGAGTCAATAAATCTTGAAATAAATTCTATAATTATTCTAAAACTAGTCGAGTATCTCGTCAAATTATTACGTGAGTCATCCGAAAACATAATAATTAATTTAGAATGTCTCACGAAAGTTATAATAAAAACTCTATTTGTACTATAAAACCATTTTATAAACTTTTTTGCTTATGGTTACGCCTACTACCTACTTAACGGCGGGATGTTCTATAATGTTTTTCTATTTACAGCCATCCGTTCGGGAGACTACTACATGTTCGATGAATTCGACGATACAGAGATCCATATAAATGATGAAGAATCTAGCTCAGACGAGGACGCACCTAGGGAGATGGGAATTGGCAAGGTCAGTTATTTTATTTCAATTAGGGAACTAGGTGAAGGTAACAGCAAGGACTATGGTAATTGTGACTTGTTCATAAATAACTATGAAGATACATTTTTTGGTTCAAATTGCCGTTAAATAATTAAATACAGCATAAAAAAATTATGATTTTCCAAAGTCCTGTCTGTTCAAATTGTTACGAAGTCTTGTGGGTGGAGGTATACGCCGTTGTGATTTTTGGGTTATGCTATATCCAAGAGAACATTGCCATCAGTATTCGTGCTTACGCATCACAATGCACAGACAAGTGCTTGTACTCAACCTTTCGGACATTTACTTAGCATTTTTAGCCACATTAATAACACAAAATTATGGGAACACCAGACTGAAGCGAAAATTTTAGGGGATACTGATAAAGGCAATGTTTTAAAATGGTGTACTGTGTTTTGGTAATAAGCATGAAGCATCCAAATTAGAAGTATATATTGGTGATTGTTTCTATAGAACGTCTTGGGTGTTCCCGCATGTATGCTTACCCGGATTCGTTTAGATAAAGCAGAATATTTAGATCTCCAATTTAGTCGAATTATCGGGAATATATTATTGAATGTAGTTGAAATTATTACGACCAATCGCTTTAAGGTGACTAACCGTAATGCCCGGTATTAATCATTGCACCGCCATGCTACTCGTTTCGGCACACGTTGTCACTCTTGCGAACACAAAACCAGCTACAAGCCTTAGGACATAGGCCGAGTTCACAAATAGTGTTAAGAAAGATTAGCGTAAGGTCAGTTAAAGCAACGTGTGCTGGATACGAGTGCGTGTGAGCTTACTATTGTGTCGCGTGGGCCGACCAGCTGCTGTCCACGATGATCAAGACGGACTTGAAGCACGCCGTGGGGCTGCGGCGCGCCTCGGCCCCCAACGTTCGGTCCACCAGACGACTCTCCCTCGGCAGCGAACCGCTCTCCTACCCCCAGGTAACGGCCCCAACGCACACACCATGTCCATTATCTCCACATATTTTTTTTTAGATTCCTGTGTTTGCGTGTAAGGAGCTCAATGCCAATCGGACATGGAAGATATATTGAGCCCCGTTGAGCCACGTCTATTATACAAGACACAAGAGAGCGTACACGCACAGCATTTTACTATTTTACAGCTGTATAAAAAACAGTCAATGCTCTATAAAGAGTTGCAGATTCTTTTTGGAGTTTAGATTTGGTTAGAATGCAGTGCATATACGCTCTGAAATAACAAGCCGCAACTTACCCGCTGTTTGTTACTTTCACATTTCCGTGGCACATGTTCCTCTGAACTTTCTTTAGCGCATTTACATTTTGTTCGTTCCGATTAAGACTAGTTTATGTAAATACTTATAGGCATATGTATTCATAAAACTTACAGCTTTTGTCGAGCAAATGTGAATGCCCATCTTGGTGTGTACTTATTAAATATTGCTTGCACTTTGGTTTTGGCTTTTGCATGCTTTTTTATGTTTTGTTTGTTATACATACATGTTGGCAGCGGTTTTGTTCTATTTCAAAATTGTAAGTATTTCAAAAAATATTCAATTATCTTTCAAGATTTTATTTTATTTTCGTAACGTACCTGTAATGATTTTGCATCTATTATTTTATACATTTGCTTTCTCTTGTGTAATTTATTGTTGTGTAAGTAACACAAGATTCGCGTTAAACAGGTCGCAGGTCGTAAGTCGTCCCTCCATCAGCCCAGTGAGTCGCACATGACGGAACAGGAGCGACAAATGACAGCGGATATTGGAGAATTCGCACCAATACCAGGTCTTCCATCCATTACAGTTTATAATTTTATTAATCTGCAAAATAGAACCTGCATATCTAATTTCTGAAAAAAACTCGTACTGTAGCGTAGGTTATTTGCCTAAACTTAAAATTAATAGCACAAATTCTTTCATGATCTACTTATTTGTTCGCTAATAGAGTTTACTGTAATTTTAATGTGTACTAATAGGTTCATTCAACAATACGTATTTGTTTTTCAGAACCTGAAGAGACCATAGTGGATAAGATACGACAATTGGCAGAGACGGCGTGGGCGTTCATATCCAGCTTCCTAGTGTCGCTCACACGACACTTGATGAAGTACTCCCGGGACTATCGATATGTATCGAAAACTCTTTCTATTGAAAAGAAAATATTAAAGGTAAATATGAAAGCCATATACGTACAAAAGGTCCAATATTGAAATCAATGTTGTAAAATTGTAAATCAGTTATTTACATGCCTTCCTGCATCTCTCAGCGTAATGCTTAATATTAACTGTTTTTTTTTTATTCTCTCAGGAAAAAGAGGGCTTCGGTATCGGACTCCGAGAAGGATCACAAATGATATGGGAACCACTACCAGAGACATTACAAAAACAGTGAGTAGTTGTTATGTGTACAATTAGATGGCGTAGATAACTGCACACTTATGATTGCGCTTCTAGCAACATTTTGAGGAATGATGATTTTTCTTATAGGATGGTAGTAGAAGTTTAGAAGATTAAAAGATATTAGTAGTAATTATGCCCATGCTTTCTGCATGATTAGTTTGATTTTAGTTAGAAGACATCACCATGTATTTCTACAATTAATTAAAATACTTTGCCATGTTCTTCTGTAGAACTTCGCAACGTTGTTCAAAAGATTCGAAACTCGATGACTTTAACTAGTGATAACTCAATCGAGTTTTAACTCGGATCATTTTCAACAATGTTGTTAACATTGGGAACTAGTTTTCTAGTTTGGATCGTTTAGTAACCGACTGCCTTTATCATGTAGCCTCTTAGAGAGAATTAGTAAGTAGTGTTTTGTTTGCATGCTGCCTAGTACCCGCGACATGGAATCAATTGACAGAAATCTACTCGATCCGATCGAGATGGGGTTTGTATTGCTACGATTATTAGAAAAGCGACGACGTTTCCTTGCTTTTCGATGTTAGAAAGTTGTTAACTATCATAAATTCTCTCAAAATTTGACTAATAAATTCATAATCATGTTGAAACATTTCATTCATATTTAAGTTAACCAAAAGGATTCGATCAAGTTAAATCCAGTGAACATCCGAACTTTCTAACGAAGTGGGAAGATGGAAAGGTACAGTATTGTCATACGTGGTGGGTTTTTACAGCCGTAAGTTAAGTGAGATAAGCGTGCCGGAGATACGCATCTTGGCGCCCAGCATGGAGCGCGGGCTGGACGTGTCCCCGCCGCCGCGCCGCGCGCAGATGTCGCTGTCGGTGACCAGCTCGGCTTCGCGCGCGCCCGCTGATGACGACGATACGTCTGAACATGAAAGCGCCTTTTCCTTGCAGTCGACTCCAAGGTGCAGACCCACCAACGACCACTTGTACTGTCAAACTAACTCGTGTGCAATAAGTCGGACACAAGTTAGAAGGGAAATGTCCCTTGATTTCGACTTCGGCACACACGCTGTGACTGTGGGACATTAAGCGATTAATTGCACGTTTCCATCACTGCTCCGATCAACACTCCTGATCTGGACACTATTCGTCACGAACACAAGAAACAGCACACGATTTCTGATTGTGTATATCAGCTGTGTAAAGGAAAATATGTCTACTGTTACACCAATAAAGACTAGAATCCAATGAAACAGTACAAGTCTCGTTGAACGTTATTGTCGCTTGATGGGCTTTCTCTTTTCTCCTTTCCGTCGTTCTGCATTGATATAACAACTTCGTTTCGTCTCCCACTGTTTCTCTATCAATATGACACGATGCAGCTTTGTGTACTTTTTATTTCGTTTTGATAATTTTGTTTATGAGAACGGTAAGTATAGTTTTAAATTGTTCGTTCGTTCGTTTTGTTTCGTTGTATATAGGGCGAACACGTGTAAATAACATTACGTTGCATGGATCGTATAAGTATTTGTAAACGTAAGTATTATTCGTACATGTACATTTAAAAGTTTTTTTTCGAAAGTTTCAAGAATTGGGTAGTTTCCTAGGTCAAAAATAAATTATTTCGACGTTTCAATACAATAAAATATTGAAAAATAACTATACTTTTATTCATCAATTGATCGATACACTAAATTTTTGATTTTTTTCAGCTAATTATTAAGAAATAAGTAGCTATTTGACGCAAAAAAAGTTATGACGTCACAGCTCAGTTTTTCATACAAATTTCATAGAAAAGTATCGTTTTTGACGTTTGGATAAAAGTATTAAATTTGACTAGTTGGAAACTACCGTATTATAGCAATTAAGGATCTTTAAAATCACATCATGAATGTTTTCAACTCACACTTGTCTAAAATCCTATGAGGTCATAGCAGAAGGAACACAGTCTTGCAAAATTCTTCGCAACATTCCATAGTATTCTTTGGTACTCAAACAGTTCTTTGGTAATTTTTGATATTTTTTTTAGAATTAAACCAGTTTTTGTTCGTATAGGTAACGCAAGTTACCTATACGAACAAAAACTGCACAAACAGATCCTTTTAAACTAAAATGGGATAAGGTTTGAAAATATCTATGTAACTTTGTAAATATATATTTATGTATATTTATGAAAACCAAAATTGCTCTAGAATGTTGCACTTGACTTTCAGACAGAGTGACCTACCTCCAACTTCTACATGTCAATGCACAAATCTTGTCAACTTCATTATTCCTATAAATATGTGAAGAAAACATTGCGTTATATTCCAGTAATGACGTCACAACACTGGAGGAGCAAGACGACTCAATGTTCAAGCAGGATCGATCTCCGTTTGTACACCTCGGCTACGCGCTGTGGTACGCAGTATTGGCGCATACAGATATCGTGTGCTATATTATGGTGTTTATTAATCAGGTAAAAATATGAAAAATATATTTATGCTTATACTTAAGTGTCTATCTTAGAAATTTGGAACCTCTTCCTTGATTTAAAAAAGCGTATTAATAATGGCAATCTTGAGTGGTGTCTATACATCTACATTATTAGGTCATCTATATATCATTTCCTAGTTGGCCGCAAGTGCATCTACCTAGCAAGGATTCAGGTTGGACTCCTGGGTCGAGCAAATTTACCGAAATTTTCTCAAGAGTACCATAAAGATAAAAATTTTATGTAATATATGTCAATAAGTTTGCTCCTCATTACTACTTTTTCAGTCAACAAAAATGAGATATGTTATTTCTATCATATTCGTGCACGTTTCAGATTCAATCGGCGACAATACTGTCCATACCTCTACCCTTGATGGTGTTCATGTGGGGCACGCTCACGATACCACGACCTACGAAGACCTTCTGGGTTACACTGATCGCATATACTGAGGTTAGTACAACTACATAAGTAAGGCCCAACGGGGCTTATGTTCAGCCGGGGTTGCAGGCATGTACAAGTGGGTACCCCGGTCTCGGCTTAGAGCAGGAGAAGGAACGTGGTGAGATTGAAAGAGTTTGCGAGAAGCAATTCAATGATATTCGCCCACTAAAAAAAAAAAATATTCTATAAAAAATATAAAAATTAATATTTTGCATTCAATAAGTGTTTTGCCTCCTTTTTGCCTATATATGGTAGATATAAACATACTTATAAACAATTTATTGAAAAGGTAAAGGCGGCAAAGTATTGAAAATTGTTAGCCTTATATGTATATATGTGTACGTTAGCCTCATACGTACTGGCACGCCAACACTACCGGCTAACTGTCAAATCTAATTTGTACAACAAATCGTATTCTTTATCTAAACTTCCTTAACATTTCTTCACAGGTCATTGTACTTATAAAAAGTATGTTCCAATTCGAGATCCTCCCATGGAATCAGAAGGTTATACCCGCAGACATGCCATTCACTGCGCCACGGATCATTGGTATCGAAAGGAAATTCAACTACGCCCTGTACGACCTTCTACTTCTGCTCATAATATTCTTACATAGGTAAGTAATTGTCTAAAATCAAAACCGATTGAATATTTTGGAGAATATTTCAACATTCGTTTCAAGCTTCACCATTTTTGGAACCATTTTTAACGGTTTGACATTAAATTTGTTTGTTGTGAACAAAAAATTGTACAGTTTACTCACCATCATTTTTAATTATCACTTACATAAAAAAGCGCAAGAAAGTTTCATAATGCAAGGTTTATATGTTACTTATTTAGGTTCATGTTGAAGTCACTCGGGTTATGGAAGGAATCCTCACCAGAAATCGAATTAAGAGAAGATATGGAGTACCCACTGAACGCTGAAGACACGCGGCTAGTTGCCGAGGGTCATATCACTGAAGTTGGGCGCAAATATGTGAAGCTGCACGACCAGACGGGACCGTGAGTTTCCTTTTATAATAATATTGTTTTCTCCTATATTATCTGTTATTTAACTCCTATATCAGACCCAATTATGCCTTGAAAGATTTATACGGTTATGGGAGAATAAGGTTTATACAAAGCGTGAGAGAAGTGCAGGAGAGCCATGCAATGCATGGAGCACGAATGGTACGAGTGATATCACATCCTCACAGAAAACCGGCGTTAAGCAACACTTACGTTGTGTTTCGCCGTGTGAGTGAGGTTACCATATGCCCAACACTCTCCTCCCCCATTCTTCCTTTATCTCCAAATCCCCTATTCGTAAATACCTGACAACCCACTTGTGGGTGGGCTGGCAAAGCTCTTGCATTAACTCCTTTGGTATTACGAGTGTCCATGGACGGTACCGATTGCTTACCATTGGGTAATCCGTTTGCTCGTTTGAAAGCGTACGAGAAGGAACATGTTTTTCCGGCAACGCACCTGTGACTCCTCTGGTGTTGCCGGTGTCCATGGGCGGCCCTGATCGCGTACCATAAGGTGATCGATCAGCTCGTTTGCCTCCTATTTCATAAAAAAATGTAAAGTGGAATATCCAACGTACAATCAGAGCAAGTTGAATATCGGCCGTTGCAATCCCAATAGAGGTCGAAAATAAGATATAAACGTTCGATATGTACGATCTCAGTAGGTATATAGGAAGGAGGCAGGGAGTAGCGTAGTTTTAGCGGATAGTACATAGCGGGGTGTGCGGATCAGACAGTCGTCACCGGCTGGTGGACCGGCTGTACCACGTGCAGGCCACCATCACGGCCGCCATGCAGGAGCTGGCCACCTCGCGCTCCGACCCGCGCGTGGCGCACCTCGTCTGGCAGCGACTGCGCGCGCGCCGCCGCCAGCGCCGCCATCGCCGCCGCCGCGCCCGACTACTGCGCGCCCGCGCCGCGACATCCCCGCGCTCGCTCGGGTACACCGACCATGTCGCAACATCTATCACTTATTCTTCTCTCTTCTTATCTCCTGTTGTTATATATTCATCTATTTTGAAATGACTTATTCCATTTTGTATAAACTTCAATCATTAATTGTAGGTAACTTAACGTCGTAACTTTGATAATAGTAATGTAATCAGTTCAATTAAAATAAACGTAGGTATAATGTTCATTGGTTCTTAAAATGTATTGTATTTGATTCGAGGGGTCAACAGACGCAGGATAGCAGTAAATATATTTATTTGTCTAGAAACAATCTCAACGTCTGTCGCATTGTATTCACCCCGTCTTACGGTATTAATTTTAGATGTACCTATGTAGGTATATAGGACATTGATAATTCATTAGATTAATTAGGTACCTATGTAGTTAAGTTTAGTACCAACTTGTTAAGAATATTGATTGTACATTTTTTAATTATAATTATATCGAAGTTTTTAGTTGTTAAATTTATTACTATATATACACTAGATAAAGTTTATAATATGTATGCTGTTGGTATACCCATATATAAATGAATAAGTGAAATTCAAATTCATAACACCATTTAAATAAATCCTTCCTTTAATACAGGCCTGGGGATATAGATGAGAGGGAAGGAGGAGGTGAAGATAACTATGATAGTGGAGGCCAAACACAAGGCTCTGAATATGATGAAAATGAAGCAGGGCCTTCGAAAGCCTCAGAGGATGATCACTTCAAGTACGTACAAGTATTTTATATTACATATTCGATATAAAAAAAGGCAATAAACTACATTATGTTTGTGATATTTTTTTATTCTAAGTGTTGTTTAATATTTCTAGGGTGGACGACGATCAAGAACCAATAATAGCGGTGTCGACTACATTAGAAAACACGTACAAGCATTACCCAGAAGTAATGCTGTTGTCGTAAGTATTTTGAACTTAAATAGCATAGCAATAAGTCCCATACTTACTTAGGTAGTTTCTAACTATTAATTCAACTCTATCCAAATTATGACGTCATAGTATTTTAGCGCTAAATAGCTTAATTATTTCTAAACAATTAGCTAAAAAAAAAACAAATTTGATGTATCGACGGTGATGAAAAAAAGTTTAGTTATTTTTCAATATTTCATTCTTCAATACAACGTCGAATTAATTTATTACAGTAGTAGTAGTATACAGTATAACATAAGATTTGACATTGCCATGACTTAACATGTGTGTCGCTTGTATCAAAGAAGGGGTCTAAAAAAGGTTTTAAACTGGTAACTTGTTTTTATTAGCAGTTAATAAAATTCAGTTATCGTAAATCGTTTCATAATTTTATTATTACGTTCACTTAAATTAGGCATCAGGCTCGTTAAATTGCTAATTCGATATATGTTGTTACAGCGTAAAGCGCTACCTGCGTCCGATGCACCGCTTCTTCCAGCGCATGTTAGCGCCGGGCGCGCGCGTCACAGCCGACATATACGCGTACATGTTCCTCTGTGACTTCTTCAACTTCCTCGTCGTCATATTCGGATTTGCCGCGTTTGGAGTAAGATTATTTGCATTTTGATTAAAAGAAAACGTTGCCCCACACTATGATTTTCTCCTGTATGGTGGGTGCGTTTACAAACATACAAATTCACATACACATCGCACCCAGACCCGGAACAAAAATGTGCGGATCACGCAAAGAGTTGTTTCGTGCGGGAATCGAACCCGCGACACGTTGCGTAGTTGCCCAGCCACCGCGCCAACCGTGCAGTCATTTTCTTATTGTACTTTGTATTTAGAGACGCTCTGCACACGATTTAAATTTGTGATCGGGGTTTTTTTGCGCTACTAAATGTCTAAATTGTAAAATCTGCACGCTGAAATGGTTATGGGCAGGAAATATCGCTTGAAGGACTTCCTTCGCTAGTGTCACGGGGATCCAATGAATGTCCCTATTCAGCAATCTTCCTTCTGAGGATGATGACTTTTTAGTTAGTTCTTTTTTAGCTTTGGGAAATACTGTGTTTAGTAGCGTAACGTCGTAAGATATGGCCACTGTAGATGCGTATCTCTCAAATAATTTCCGAAGCCGAATGTTGCACATCATCATCATCATCATCATCATCATCATCAGCCCTTTTCAGTCCACTGCTGGACATAGGCCTCTCCTATTGCACGCCACTGGGATCGATCTTCGGCCACTCGCATCCAGCTCCTGCCAGCCATCTTGCGCAAATCACATTTGTTTGAATGAACAATGTTGCACATTGTTCATACAAATTATTTTCTGCATTCTTTGACACAGTGGCTGTTCTATAGTCTAGTTTTATATATAGTCATTGTGAAATAGGCCCTTAATTTGATAACTTTTATAGTTGGCGTACTAATTTCCACTTTCCACAGACGCATCAAGGAGACGGCGGTGTACAAGCTTACTTGGAAGAGAATAAAGTACCGATTCCCTTCCTCGTAATGTTGATCCTGCAGTTTGCGCTAATAGTCATAGACCGTGCGCTATACTTGCGCAAGTTCATGCTCGGCAAGATATTGTTCCAGTATGCGCTTATTATAGGAGTCCATATCTGGATGTTCTTCGTTTTACCTTTTATTACCGAAAGGTAAGTAATTTTCAAAAAGGTAATTAAAAGAAGTAAAAGTATAGTTGTTAAACTATACTTTTACTTCTTTATTGGGATGTGAAGATTTTGTTGAATTTCTTATCCACACCACTTAATGGTGTGTTAGATAAGAATTTACCAACGTTTTTTGTGGCATATGGCAGCAAAAGTGCCGCCTTAGCACCCGGTGGTATGCAATGCTGGACGCTGTTACAAGGCGTTGCCGGACCTTTTGAGGTTAGGGATTCCAAGATTGGAGATTTGATAATTTGGAAACCGCCTGGAAGATTGCGTTTCTCCTCACCTGACCTCATCGACGTGGCAAAACACAACGCATGCTTAGTTGTGCCGGTTGTCTAAGAGGCCGTGGTGTCCTACCACATACGTTTTATAACTCGAATCCAAGGAAATCCACTACATAATAGTGTATAATTTGTACAGAACATTCAACGCTCTGCTCCCTCCTCCGATGTGGTATCTGTTGAAGTGTATCTACCTGCTCCTGTCCGCGTACCAAATCCGCTGCGGATACCCGCGCCGTATCATCGGCAACTTCCTCTGCAAATCGTACCACTTCCTCAACATGGTGTTCTTTAGAGGGTGAGTTGAAGGCTAGACTTATTTACATTACACCAAATGTGTGCTCATGTAAAAGCTTTACCTAACCGCAAAGTAACACGAAAGTTTGGATAAATAACAAAACAGAATCTGACATTTACATAATTGAGAATGAATTAAATTCATTAATTATTTTGCCTAAAGCATGGGAAACCTTATTGATTATCGATAAGTTTTTTTGACCACTGTAACATAAGAGACTGACCAAGTTCACAAATTAAAGGTGGGGATTGAACTTTTTTATTATTATAATTAAAACGTTTTATATATTTTTAATTCGCAGATTTATGGCAGTACCATTCTTATTCGAGCTGCGAACTCTTATGGACTGGATATGGACGGACACGTCTATGAACCTCATGGATTGGCTCAAAATGGAAGACATATTCGCCAATATCTTCCTCTTAAAGGTATTTTAGCATTTATAACATGTTTTTATGTATTGTATAATTATTATTACATAATTGACGACTACTAAATGCGGATGAAAAAAAAATGTCGTGGAATGAAATATTTAGATTGTGACGAAAGCCGGTGTTGAAACGCGTGATTTTTATAAAATAATCCTCAGATAAATTTACTATTTGACAACAAAAATACAACATTACGAAACTAAACTATTAATGATTATTTCTAAATAATTTTGACATTAATTGAGCTCCTAAAGTATAAATAAATTTTATTTTTAAATTGTTTTTTTTTTTCAGTGTTCCCGATACTTAGAGGACGAGTTCCCTCAGCCGCGCGGCGTTAAGAAAGCCAACTCCTCCAAATACTTACTAGGTGGAGGAGTGCTGGCTTTCGTCATTGCTATTATATGGTTCCCACTCGTATTCTTCGCCTTTGGAAATTCGGTAATATATATATTTTCTTTGTATGCTAGTTTTATACCTGTCAACGTAGTCGATAACAATTTTTTGTCAATTTATAAATCATTAAGAGCACATACTTAATGAAACTGTTACTGTAATCGGTTTAATTCCGTATTGAATTTCTGTTTTTTTGGTTGTTTTATAATAAGTGTGTTATTTAAGGCGAAAAATCCTAAAAATCATAAAATTATTTACATCTGACATGTCAAAAGATAGAAATATACTTACAGTTATCTAAGTGAATAACTATAGTTGAAACATAAATAATACCAAAAAAAATTGTATGGTTTCAGGTTGGTCAACCCAATCCGCCCACAGATGTTACAGTAAAGATCCGCATCGGTCCGTTCCTGCCCGTCTACCAAATGTCTGCTCAATCACACAACATCGATGTGTATGTACCTATTATTCACAATAGTTTCTGTCAACTTTATCCGGGCGAAAAGTACTATTTGTTATCCCAGACTATAATTATCTATCTGCACTATTTCATAAAAATCCATTCAGTAGCTTATATGTGTAACTCTTGCATTTATAATAATCATTATCACAATAACAAGTCGTGCCACGGAAGTTAAGGCGTGTAATTTGTAGATGGGCTTTCAAAACCTGGCTACATAATATAAAAACCTAGACTTTTTTAATATAAGTTTGAAATCGCCAAACTGAATGTTTATATTTTCCTCGCGATAAGAGACTTTGCTCAGCTGTGGACACTTATAGACTGAGGATCTCTTGTGTGATTGAATGATGAAGAAATTGCCTTAATTAGTTTATTGTGCAGCTTTTTCCACGCAAGTAACATAGCTACGCGTACCGTAGCATTATGCCTTTGGTTGCAGTAATCTCTTTAGGAGACAAATCGTGACAATATTGACAAATACCTAAATAAGAGATTGTAAATATAATACTTTAACTTACAGATTCACAGAGCAGGACTACACCCAGTTAAGCAATATGTACGCGCGCGATCGCACGGCGCAGACGTTCCTCTCCAACTACATGTATAACGACGTCGCCGTCATCACCATCAACCCCAACTCCACGCTTAAGTGGGAGATCTCACCGCCGGAGCTCGACCGACTCAAGCGAGAGGCTGCCTCTAGTGAGTGAACAATAACACCTCTTCGATTTGCATATACGGGTCAACAACTAGCTTAATTAGCCACTTAACAGACGGTATGAATGAACAGTCTTTTGATTAAACGGGTGAATTTCTCATAGCCTTAACTCAAATGGTGAAAGAATCGTCATTTGTCGAATGGCCTGCCCTAATAACAAGTTAGGTTAATTTAAATAAAAACTGCAACCCTCACAGAATTCAAACTGACGTCAAATTAACAGCTACCAGAATTGTATTGTGAAATCATTTATTAAACAGGTTAAGCCGAATTCAATGGCAAATGCTCACTACATGGTGCTAATGTACGATCTCTCTGTCCATTGGCTAGTATCAATCCATGGGACATTCAATATTTAACAGCTACACTGATAGAACAATGACCAAACAGACCTAACCTCATGAGATATGAGTGCAATTTGCTTAAGAAAAAAAGCTCTATTACCCGACTGTAGACAGACTGCTAGGGAACAGAGAGTAAGTTCCCACTATGGAAGGTTATCAGCCAGATGGGCTTGGGCAGACCAACGATTGTAAGTTGGAATTGTGTATCCGTGTTATTCGATCGCAAGTGTCACTTGCATAAAGTAACACTTGAAACGCGACACACACTTTTTTTTTTTTCTTTCCATCTATTGAATATTGCTGGTACTATGTCAGTCGCCACAGATTGTTGTTACTTATTACTGAGGTTCCGCTGTCTGTCTATTTGTCTTTTTGTTAGTCACCAGGCTAAATGGGGCTCATAAACTGATTATATAGGGTTGTTTGGACAGATTAGTTTTTGTATTTCGGTTGCCGCTATACGACAAATACTGAGTTGTTTCCAATAGGTACATGATTTTGCCACGGAACGAGTCCGAGTCCGTCTCGCACTTGGCCGGTTGTTTACACTATTTCGTAACATCGACCATCCTATTTAATATTAGTGTAGATAGGTATACTGCAGTTGCCTCAAAGACCACCACAAATGGCCTATCTCCATCAGGGCTGATTTTCAGCCGGAGTTGCGGGGCAAGCGTAATAAGTTACCGCGTCCTGAAGCAGATGGTGAGCTGTCATTTGATGATTTACCCCTCAAAAATGGAGTCAAAAGTTGATGACTTACGATTTTATACACATCTCGTAAAAATACAATACAGTGTAAGGTGATAGAACCTAGGGCAAACAATGTAAGTACCTAGTGATAGTAAAAGTTATTTCGCCAAAATTATTACTAGAGATGAGGAACTAATTATAATATTATGTTGCAGTTAATCAAAAGTTTATCTGTATTGTTTTAGTTGGAGAACTCTCTTTATGTTTTTCTGAGTGTCACCTTAGTAATGGTCTTCAATATTGCTTCATTTAATACAATAAACGCTTATATTCTATACAGATGCCACACTAATGGTGAAGTTTACCTACGTGATAACACATCCGACGAATGCAGTCCCCAACCCGCCGACTATAGAGGATCATCGCGAGGTTCCTATCAAAGCGTATGTGGACGGACAGCCCAACCCACAGAGGGAAACTCTACGGAAACTTCTAGACGGTACCACCGACCCTGATACCTGGTAAGATTTTTTTCCTGCTCATTATTACTCATGATTTAAACGTATAAAAATTGCTTATTATTTATATATGTATAGATTAGCACAGAAGGTAACGTAATTTATTATTGAAACAGGTTAACCGTCAAACACTTGTTCCCGAAGTTTTTGAAAGTATTTAACAAGGGTACCACTAAACCGGCGTACCAACTAATGCCGACGCAATTCGATGAAGATGATATAGAAAATGAGTACGGTAAGAGAACATTTAAAGATTGTAAGTTACTAGAGTATTTATTAAAATATAATTTTACTATTAAAATATCATTTTAATGTTACACTTAATAGACTCACCAGCCTTCATCTACCTACATTCTGAGGATCGCCAGTCAGTTTTCCTATACTTCTTAGCAGTCTGATTGATGGTTAATTACACCCTGTTTCAGACGAGGAAGCCATTGTCTACCGTGACGTGCTTCTTCGGCTGGAGAGAGATTTTGAGAAGGATGTAATGTACTGGCGCGTTCGAGAATCTTGTTCTTTACGGGTAAGTCGAGTCGAGAAGCCATACGTAAGGCACTTCAATCTTCATAGTTTATATTCGTATTAGTACTAATATCCCTTATTCATAATTAAGAATAAATAATTTAATATTTATTTATATTTATAGGATCCATTGCTGACGGTCCCGTTAAATAACTGCGAAATGCTGGTCATGTACACTTTTAACGATAAACTGTTCCCAGAGACATTAAACTTTATATCGGGCAGTGGGTGAGTATTTATCCTATTAAGAATGTTTTTTCCTTTACATACAAATTATTGTTCTAAAAATAACATAAATATTTATTGTAGTATCATTGGACTATACACCACTTTCGTGTTCTTGGCGTCGCGAGTTCTACGAGGATTCTTCTCAGGAATTTACACAAGGATCATGTTCGACGATCTACCGAATGCTGACAGAGTATTGCAACTCTGTCTTGATATATATTTGGTAAGTACTAATAGATGCTTTTGGCAGGTTTAACTCCTCGTAGGGCACGTGTAGGTACCTACAGTAGATATACATAAGACTACAAAATTGTGAAATACAAGTATATTGGACAAAACAATTTATGAATCTAAATATATTTGAGCAGAGAAAAGTATTCGTTTAGTTATTAGAGAAGAAAATCTAACATTTTTATTATCTTTAGGTGCGGGAAGCACTCGAGCTCGCCTTGGAAGAGGACCTGTTTGCTAAATTAGTATTCCTGTACCGATCCCCTGAAACTATGATAAAATGGAGTCGACCTAAAGACGACGAAAACATGGAACAGCCGGCGCTACCTCCATCTCGCTGAGCTAAGTAACTCGACATAGGTTTTTAAAAAGATGTGTTACGACGTGAAGTCGTAATCTAATAACTTTATTTACTTATTTAAATCTAAGGCTACATACTGCGAGGTTCAAGTTGTCGTTTTAAAATAAAGATAACCCACATAGTTGTATTAGTTTTTGTAAGTAGTTTTATATTTTATATTCTATAACTTTACGCCAAGGAAGTTTTTTTCAGGTAGGTACTTCGAAGTTTATTATATTAAACAAACCTATTTTACAAATCAAATTCCCACTTTGAAAATAAAGTACAAGTTTTAACCGACTTTTGTTATGTTTCAATAATTCTTAATCGTCCATATTGATGTTATTTATGATTATGTATATTGAATACGATGTGCAACAAATTACATCGATTTTAGATACGTAAGCTGTACAGTAAAATAGTTCTAATCTAAGAATAATCATGGTGCATATTTTCATAATTTTAGTCGGAAAGATTTCGAAATTTGCTAAATAGTTTATTGATGTTCCTACCTTACTAAATAAATTAAGCCTAAGCAAGCAAGATTCACATAGAACAATGCAAAATTACTTGTCACATTATAAGATCGAATAAAAAATCAGCATAATTAGTCAATATTTTGTAATTTTTCACGATGTTGTATAAAAATTATACATAACTGGCTTTTGAAATATGTACTTAAATAAATTAATTCTATCTTAGCGGTAATCACTCGCTCTCTTATTTAAAATTTTACTGTAGTTTTTATCTCTTTACATGCGGGCTCTTGATTGCATAATAAATAGGTATTATTTTATTAGCTGTTTAGAATTCTAGTTATTTGCTTTGTTTTTGCAGATGTTTATTGTATAAATGTTTTGAATGATAATGTTGAGTCTATTAGAAAATATTATTAAGAAAGTTACCAGTAAGTCATTTTGTACTGATAAATTGAAGACGTTAAAACAAGTATGTTTAGCATTTTATTATTTACTATACAAAGTCACTATATTATGATCACTATGACTGCACAAAATATAGGTATAGAAATTACAATTTATATATAAATTATATAAAAAGCAACATAAGTTTTACCTCAATTTACAAATCATTGCATTTGATATTACTTAAATTAAAGGCGTAAGTGAATTATACATATTGTACACTTTTGTATTATGGTTGTTGTGTTTAAGCTGCATTTAAAGTTGTCGATTTGTGATAATAAAAGTCAATGAAATGTTTCAAGTATTTTATTATTAGAATTAAGTAATACAATACATACTAAAACATCAAAAAGAAAGTTTTCAATTACAAAATAGTTTTATTGAAATGAAATAGGTATTTTATACTTAGTTTACAACCATCAATCTTGGCGCAATGTTCATGGACATCAATTCTTGGAACAATAATTTCGCAGCATATGGCAGTCTTATTTGCGAAATTTGGGTCTTATTTTTACATCCTTTACATTCAAAAGTATTATTTCTTAAGTTAGCAATCGCAATCAGTCCACAGAAATTGCAAACGTGAATACGATAAGGATCAGATACCTCGAAAAGTCGTTCACGTAAGAATTGAGCCGCGCCATGAGCGATTTGACAATCTCGTTCCATTTCTCCGAAACGTAATCCACCGTCTCTAGCCCTGCCCTCCATAGGTTGCCTTACCAAAATCTGGACAGGCCCTCGAGCTCTTGAATGGATTTTGTCGTCCACCATGTGTTTCAGACGTTGGTAATATGTGGGACCCAAAAACACTTGAGCATTTATCTTTCGTCCTGTATGTCCATTATACATTACTTCATTACCACGAAGATGATAGCCATACTCTTGCAATAGTGAAGATATTTTCTGCACATTTACAGCATCATTGAATGGTGTTGCATCACCAATTTCTCCTTTGTTAGAAGATACTTTGCCTTGGATGCATTCGATTAAATGGCCAATTGTCATACGAGACGGGATAGCATGTGGATTAATAATAATGTCAGGAGTTATACCCTCACAAGTAAATGGCATATCTTCTTGCCTATATTGTATTCCACAAGTTCCTTTTTGACCGTGGCGGGAAGCAAACTTGTCCCCAATTTGAGGAATACGCACTGATCTGACGCGAATTTTGCAGAATTTATAACCTTCACTATTTAGTGTTAACATCACCTGGTCGACAATTCCAGTTTCACTATTACGTAAAAATGTTGATGCATCACGTTTTGTATAACGCTTCGTTGTACCTTCTAATTCATCATCATTTTCGGGCAAAGTAATCGTTTTCCCAATAACTACATCATCTCCTGATACTCTTATACCAGGTGCAATAATGCCGTCATCATCTAATTTATCATACAAAGCGTTTCTCATGCCTTGACATGTTTGTCGGGTAGGTTTTTCAAATTGTTCCTCTTGGTCACCAATCCTTTTCGATTCTGAATCCTTATAAGATCTGTAAAAAACAGAGCGGAAGAATCCTCTTTCCACAGCTGATGCGTTTAGAATGACACTATCTTCTTGATTGTAGCCTGTATAGCACAAAATTGCTACGATCGAATTAATGCCTGCAGGCAATTCTCTAAACCTTAGATATTCCATGGATCTTGTAGTAACCAATGGCTTGTGAGGGTAGTACAAGACATGCGCCAAAGTGTCCATTCGTACATGAAAGTTAGTGATGTAAACACCCATAGCTTGTTTACCCATAGCACTCTGGTAGGTATTCCTAGGGCTCTGGTTATGATCAGGAAATGGTATGATAGACGCACACACGCCCAGTATCATAGCAGGATGAATTTCGCAGTGAGTATATGTAGTACAGTAAGCATATTCCTTTACTTGTGCTAAATCGTCAGGGCTCATTGCTATCATTACAGTCTCTTCTTCCAATGTGTCAATGTATTCAACAACACCACTTGCTACTAAATTTTGCCACCCATAGTTATTAAAGTCACGTTCCTTAAGATCATCAATATGCTTTTTCTTTAATAGCAGAGCTCCATTTTCGACAATTAACAAAGGGCGGCAAATTCTGCCGGCGTCTGTATAAATTCTGATCTCTCTGTCTCTAATATCGCGAATCATGCTCACTTCAGAAACAATAATATCCATTTGACGTCTCAGCTTTCTCAAAGTAGCCATCAATTGCTCAGGATCTCTATGGATACCAACCCAACAGCCATTTACAAATATTTTTGTGGCGTCAGCTATAGCTGAAGGTGCAATTTCTTCCAAATTTTCCATAGACCACTCTTCCAAGAACTCAAGAATAGGAGATGGCTGACTGCCTACTGAAATATAAGCCATTAAGGCCAGATTTTTGACTAAACCTACAGCAGCACCTTCAGGTGTTTCAGCAGGGCAAATCATACCCCATAAAGTGTTATGTAATTGACGAGGTTTAGCTAATTTACCATCTCGACCAATTGGAGAGTTCACACGACGCAAATGTGATAATGTTGAAGCAAAAGTTAATCTATTTAATACTTGTGAAACACCAGCTCTAGCTTGATGGGCCTTCTTTTGATCTCCCCAATTTCCCGTGGCAAGGGAATATCTTAATCCATCTGTTATAATTTTAGTTTTGATGGCTAGTTCCAAATTGAAATCTTTTCCTCTGTCAATAAATTTCTGAGCATACATTCTTACTTCTTTTAACAGATTTTTAAATAGACCTCTGAACAAAAATGCAAGTAAAGGCCCAGCTAAATCTAAACGTTTGTTGCCATAATGATCTCTGTCATCCAGCTCACGACGTCCTAATGCAGCAAGTAACAATCTATGTACCATATAGCCCAAAAAATAAGCTTTTTTAGTTTCACAGAAATCTGACACCCCAACATGGGGCAACATTTCTTTTTGTAGAATTTCTCTTGCATATTTGATACGCTTTTCTTTGGTAACACCTGGGCGAGCACCACGAGCACCAATGAAATTAAGAGCTACATTCTGTTCCTGAATTACAAAAGCTTCGTCTAATGAAGGTTTCACCATTTCCATCATTTCAGGGTCATCAAAATCGTAGATAATGTGCTCCAGTATGTCTCTATCTGCTACAAAACCAAGAGCTCTGAAAACAATCATAATAGGTATTTCTTGTTTGATGTATGGGACAATTGCAATAATTCTTTGCCCAATTGCAGATTTTTTTATATTTTGACCACCACGAGCCATCATGTTAACCCATAAAGTGGATGTGGGCCTAGAACTGTGCTCTAAGCATGATCGTATTTCTGTTTTGTAAGCAAATTTGCCATCTTTCATACTGAATACATATACAGTATTTGTTGCCATTTTCTCCTGGGCAATAAGAACTTTTTCAGAACCATTGATGATAAAGTAACCACCGGGATCAAGTGGACACTCATTCAATTCTGACAAGTCTCTGTCTGTTAAGTTATTTAGAAGACAATACGTAGACCGAAGCATAATCGGAATTTTCCCAATAAATGTTTTTTGATGCTGAGTTTCAATAGGATCTTCATGTTCTTTCACAATGGTTTTAGTTATATCCACATACAGTGGTGCAGAATAAGTCAAATTTCTCAGACGAGCTTCATTCGGCATCATAGGTGAGGGAGCACCATCTTTTTCCCAGTGCGTAGGCTTTGATAAGTAGATTTGATCGAATTTCAGAAGATATTTTGGTGGAGTTTCAATTTCACCTGATGAATGTTGAGCTTCAGCTTGTAATTCTATAGGTGGTGAATCTTCTACGATACGCTGGACTGACATTTGAATAAATTCATCAAAACTATCTAATTGTTGGCGTACCAAACCTTTTTCATCAAAATAAGCATTGATGACGATCCAACAAGCTTCTTGCCAAAGCTCCGATGATATTTCCTCCACATCGATTTCTTCATATTGATCATCTTCTGTTTCGTACATAATTACAAAGGAGAACTAAAAGTTCTCCTCGCTATGACTATTAGCAATTAAAACACAAATTGAAATATTCAAGCACTAGAACTTGACTCGACTTGCAGTCGCTGTTGGTGACGGACGACCACAGATTACCTATAAAAATAACGCCAACGCCAATCAATCAGAAAAAAAATGTGGCAGCTTACTTACTCGACTGACTACGCTTCACAAACATGTCTGTGAAATCGACTATTTGTTGACTATTTGTAATGAGAGATGTTCTAATGAATTTTAATTTATTTATTAACTAGGTAAATAAGTGTAAAAGAACTCATATTCTTTAGGGAAAGGGAAAGGGTAAATTTTGTATTTTATATTTTCTTCACTGATTAAACTTTGATAGCGTAAATTTTTTTCTGCCAAAAGATGAGCTCTAGATTATCATGAAAACATAAGCAAAATGATGAAAAAAATCAAAGTTGTGTTGTATTATTGTTTTCTGTAGGTATCTTGAAATTGTAACAAAACTTTTAAAATAAGGTCTCAACGATGGAAAATATGAAAATCAATATCGATTTCCTTTATCGACTTTCATCGTGGATCTGGATTTTCTGAATCGTTCATTCATCACTAGTGGTAGTGGATGTTTTGTTTGAGAGTTCAATTTCTTCAATTTGACGATTTTTAAGATTGAGATGATTCATTCGGATTCGTATTGAACCTTGTTTTATTTTTAATTTTATTATTGTAATAATTTAATACTATGGATTCGTCACGCAGAAGTAACACAGATGAACAACGGTGTATAATGGGCCTTCAAGATTTAAAACTCTCCAATAAAGTTGAAGATGTAACTGAGCAAGCGCACGGCGCCGTAACATCGAACACAAGTTCTCTGGCCAAAACCCGACCTGTGGGAGCAATAGAGAGCTTTGTATTGGATAATGGCCAAAACAATCGTCAAGATTACAGCTTTTACGAGAGATCGAATGTTATAGCTGCTTCAAAGTTTGCTACCCCTAAACGAGTTGAAACTATTGCGTCGATCAATAAACGCGATATAAACACTGCAGCTCTGCCATCCAGTCCTACACGTTCCATTGATTCTATATCGCAAAGATCACTCAGTTATCAAACTGACGACTTGTACGAGATCCCGGCAATTCCAAATGCTCACTACCCACCACCAGTTTATGAAAACATAGATTATTACGGTGAGCAGCGGTCACCTCAACCCCCGTACTATCATCAGTTGTACGGGCAGGCGCCACCTCCGCCAGTGTCTGACGGATATTACGATACACGTTATAGTAAAGCTCAACCACAAGTGCCAGTTAATTCCAAGACTACTAAACCCAATCCACTAGTGTATGAAAATATGTTGTGTTCTGATAATGATAAAAAAAGTGAATTCAAACCCCAACAAAACCATGACCAGCGTTTTATACAGCAGGGATCAGTCCCTGGTCCTCAAGTACCCAACACTGGAGCCATTAGGAGTATGGCACAAATATTAACAAGTGACAAAATAAAAATAGATAAAGCTCCACCACCTCCCCCATACAACACATCTCAAGATAATCCAGGTAGTGACTACACAGTGATGAAGTCTGCCCCTCCCAAGTACACTGACGTGAGTGCACTGCTAAAGAGTGATAATACTATTAGTTTTGATGATAAAGTGGTGACTATACCATCAACAGCAATATATGCATCTATAGCTCCAAGTGCACAAAGACCCAAAGCTAATATTGCTACTGAAGTACAAACTGCAACAGCAAGTCCTAAATTCTTTCATCCAAAGCCAAATATTGGCAATAGCATTGGGAAAGAGAAACCTTTAATCAATGGAGGCTATAGTGCAAAGCCACAAGTTGGTAGTAGAATGCAGATAGTAGAAGATACCAATGGTTCAGACTATGTGTGCATGACTGGTGGCTCCCCAGCAGCAGTAGTGGCAGCTGCTAACAGGGACAATGTCTCCCTGGCCTCAGAGTCTATTACTTCTAGAAATTTGGTATCAGGTCTTACATCTCTCTGTTCCCCGGCTCAATCCCCTGCACCCAGTCCAACTCCAAGCTCGGTCTCTCAAGTGTCAGGTGGTTCTCGTGGCTCTGGTGGTCGGGGCAAAAGCTTATTGCCTTACAGCATCACACCACCCCGTCCTCCAGGCCCCAGTGAGGCGCAACGTAAAATAGAAGAACTCACTAGGCAACTTGAAGAAGAAATGGAGAGGCAAGATGAGGAGGGTGAATACTTTGGTAAGAAAGATTACTATTGTTATTCCTATAGAACTAAATCACACATAAAAGTGGCTTGTTTGTTATACACAAAAAATAAAAGAAGGTTAGATTTGGATAGATTTTGCTTGTGCAAAATGAGTCGGTCAAATAATGATCTGTAATTGGATTGTTGTGTAGGTATTTGCCATACATGTGGTGCTGGAGTCACAGGGGCAGGCCAGGCCTGTCAAGCCATGGGCAACCTCTATCACACAAATTGTTTCATCTGTTGCTCATGTGGTCGTGCATTACGAGGAAAAGCTTTCTACAATGTGCATGGGAAGGTTTACTGTGAAGAAGACTATTTGGTTTGTACTTAATGCAAAGAATTATATTTTTATTCATTTAATATTATTTTATTTTTAATTCTTCTTATTATTTACTGTAACAGTACTCTGGATTTCAACAAACTGCCGAGAAGTGTGCAATATGTGGACATTTGATTATGGAAATGGTAAGACAACAACTGTTTATTTTAATTTTGTGTCTTATCCTAGCTGATCTACATAATTTACAAATCTCATTATCAACAGATTTTACAAGCTATGGGCAAATCCTACCACCCAGGTTGTTTCCGTTGCTGTGTTTGCAATGAATGCCTTGATGGAGTGCCATTCACAGTGGATGTTGACAACAAGATATACTGTGTCAATGATTATCATCGCATGTTTGCTCCTAAATGTGCTAGCTGTGGAAAAGGTAATTTATCAAAGAAAATAATTAAATCTCAAGTAAATTTAACATCACCTGACTCTCTAATGATAAATTTCTCTCACAATAGGTATAACACCAGTTGAAGGCACAGATGAAACAGTGAGGGTTGTGTCAATGGACCGGGACTTTCATGTTGACTGCTACATGTGCTGTGTTTGTGGAATGCAACTGACTGATGAACCTGACAAACGCTGCTATCCTTTAGCTGGTAAGTGTAATTAATAGTTTTTCTTTTTTGTTTGATTGAAATAAGAAGGGAACTTAAATAATGATATGATTATATGAATCACATATAGTGCTCTAAGGTTCCAGTTTAAGACGTATAAAGGTATAAAAAATTACTAAGATAAGTAACATAAGAAATATGAATGTTCTGTTTGTAAAGTTGTGTGAAGAGAAAGATAAAAAAAAACTTTTTGTGATATGCTCCAGTTACTACTTTCAATAATATATTTCTTTAAGACAATATTCCTCCACAATTATTCTATGTTTACAAAAATATAACATTATGGTGATGAAATTATTTCAGGTAAATTAATGTGTCGTGCTTGTCATTTGGCCACGATCGGAGCAGCGTCGGGGCCAGGCCTCTCGCCAGCGCCTCATCTCTCCCCTGCTTCATACCAGTACATGGGTTGAACTTCACTTGTTTGGCTGCGTCTAGTGTTAAAACAATTCTATTACATCAAAATAAGCAGTTGGCAGGCTAATATTTCTATTATAAAATTATGTGCTCAAAAATGATTTATATAGTTCATGTTGCACCTATTAGAATTTATTGTAATTAGCTTTAATAACCTGTAACCTAAGTTATGAAGATCAAGCAAAACATTTAAACTGTGTCGTTACTATTTATAAGAATAATAATTCAAAATGACGTGTTCTACGTAAATGTCATGATATCGAAACCTATCTATTGATAAGCATATAAAAAGGGTAGAATGATTCTGCTTAGGTATTTTAATGATAGTAAAATGTATGGATGTTTTATGAGGAACTGTATTTCATAGCAGCAAATAGAATAAATAAAGTTAATAATGATAATTGTGATTTGCTATAGCCAAGAAAGTTTTTTGCCTATTATTATTTGTGATATCCAATGTTTTGACTGATGCAATTTCAGTTATCAAAGGAATTGAATTTTACTATGTGACATGATAAAACTGATTATGGAATTGGTTTAAAGTTAAGCTTATGATTGTTAATGTATTTGACACATTTGTACTAGAAATATATATTAAAACCCGCAAGTATTATGGCTGCTACTGCTAGTTGATTTGCCATTGATGTGAAATGCATTTATTATTTTTACACACTAGACAGGACAGCACTCCTGGTTGGTGTGTATACTACTAAATATTTAAAAGTATAAGGGTTATAGGCTCTGTACTTTTTATGAGTAAATAATTGTTTTTGGTCACAATTTTAGAAATATTACAGATAGGAGGCGCAATAAAACATTCCAGTAATGTGCTGTCTTGTTTTGTACTTAATATAATTAGGTTAAACCATTTTATATGTACATTTTGATGAAAAATAATGTGATTATTATTTGTAACTAGTGATTATGAAATAAACATGATTTTGTTATGTAGTTCTTTTTATAATAAAATAAGTAATAAATATTATAAAATTATAACTTTGTATAATTTTAATTAGTCATTATTATTCTAGTTCTTATCCATTTTATGGTATTTTCATAATTCATGTTGGTTGACTGTTACTAGAAAACCTTTAGAATTAACATTGGAAGATTTTTATATGGTATTTTCAAGTTTTATAGTTTCTTCACCTTATTTTTTTTCATATTCCGCATTTCAGTTTTGTATCGTTTCATCTCCTGCATGACTTGAGTGCGTTTTTCTTTCATTTGTGCTTGATAATGAGTTTTACTCTCATTGAAACGATCTTGCAGTGTATCTTTCTTTTCTTGAATTATTTCTTTTATTCTTTCTTTTGAAGGTACTGGTTTGAGGTAACCCAATTGTTTCATTTTGTTAATGGCAACTGTAGTCCCTCCTAGAAAATCAGTAAAATGTTAATTACATTTTCATTTATTTATTGCTCACATTAACTTTTTAACACTGTTTTTGGAAAAGTAATAATCATCTCAAGATAGGTACTACCTAAATTTTATTGAATACAAAATAAAATGAATCTGAAACTGTGCTAATCATGATAGCTTTGCTCTATCAATATCTCATAATGCTGAAAAAGGGAGCTTTTTCATGTAATTTGGTATACCAGATATACCAAATTACTACATATACTGACTAGGATGATTAATATATCATCATATCAGTTAGATTTCACACATAGTTCTTTAATGAAATTGCTAATTTATACTAATAGTTGTAATATATCATTGGTTTAGAACTTATTATAGATAACATAAAACAATTAAAATAAATTATTTGCATCTTAGAAAATAGGAAGCAAGTCTTAATACCTTTATATGGTAATTTTTTTATAGTAGTAATTTGAATATGCAATTATTTGTAAATGATATGATATTACCTACTGTTACAGCATACCGCAGAGGTGTTACTAATTTGTATAATGCTAATGCAAGGGCAAAATATCCTGCAGCAGAGTCTCTTAAAGGAGCAATTATTGTTTCACTGACACCCAATGTGTTTAATATAGCTAACACATCAACACCGCTGTAAAAACATACAAGCAAATTAAATGGAATTCTATTTGTGGAACCTATTTAAATGTATCTAATATGTACATACCTTCTGACAACATAATAAAAACTGCCAAACCAAACAGCAGATGTAGCCACATGCACGGGTATTAGTACATACCAATAATCCCTGTACATGTGTTTAAATTTTTGTATAAGGCCTTCTTTCGCTTTAGTTGGTTCCCCATCTGATGGAGTCTTGTCTTGAGTGGTATATAGTCTAAAGCTTGAAGATTTTAAAGCTAAATCCTTTGTGGCAAGCAAGGGTCTCGGGTTGTATTCATTATGATAACAGGTGCCAATAGCCAAACTTCTTACTGGATATTTCTCTCCGACACTCCATTTTACCGGTTTGGTTATAGTTTGCAAATAATAAGAATTTTTAAATAAAGCCCTATAAGTTAGGGCCATTTTTATTTTATAGTTTGATAGTATTGCACAAAAATCTTACGAACTATACATTTTTTAATACTATTCGGACAAAATGTGTAACGGGACAAGATTATTGTTGAAGTTGACAGGTTTGAATGAGAAGACAAATAATTGACAATATTGACATTCACAGTTTTTTTTTTGAGTTTATGGCCTGGATACAAGTCTTTTAAGCCATCATTCACAGTTATTATAGGCTAACAGTTGTAACAGAGTAGTCTGTGGTGATATTTTTTTAGTTTCGAAACCATAAGTCTGTTAGTCTTTTTTAAAAAATAGAGAAACAACAAATACGTTTGTCTCCTCCCGTGGTTAGACTCAGCAATGGCCATGAAGAATGATAATTTAGAGATTACATGGGCTGCGTAGACTAAAAAAAATAGAAGTAGGTCCTTGTAATAGGGTATATCGTTTGTGTTAGGTAAATGGAAAACCTCAACGTTTAAAGGACTGTATTGCAGCCAATGGAGACCACTTCGAATAAGCTTTTTATGTTTTAAATTGTTTTTTATTTATGTATAAAACTTACATACTGTATAAGTAATAAATGTTATTTGCAATAGAATTTTTTTTTTATTTGTTACAGTATTTATGGCTAGACTAGGTATATTACACTTGCCTACTTTAATATGAAAGACTACAATAACTACGAAGGCTATAATACCTTAGTACATCAACCAGCAATCAGTGAATGTAATAAGTGTACAATCAATACGTAATAGCAATACATAAGTGATTTAAATTTAATTGATTAGACTGGTGCAAACAAAGAAATAAGAAGTTGACCTTTGTTTTAAAATTAACATTAATATCTAAAAGACGAAATTTTTTTCTATAGTCAACAAGAATATGGCATGCTAATTTGACTGTTCATTACACATTGATGGCGCAATCGGGAGTAAGGCCGCCTTATGAACAATTAGCCGTGCGTTCGTATCCAGCCGAGTATTGATATCACTTTTTGTAAATCTTGTGATTTTTCTGAATCATTTTATTCGAGAACCAAATGCTTATCGACTGTATAACTCGATGAAATAGTCTTGGAGTGAGCTAGGTAACTGATTCTAAAACTGCAGAAATTAAATAGGTAGTAAATAGAGAAACGACTTAACGATCTATGGTCACTCAAAACTTTACTGTTGTTTCAAAAATTGAGTCATAAATATAACTACTCCTAAGTCAATTACAACTACATTGTTGGAAACATGTCCACTGTGAGAAGCACGCCCCGGAGCCCGATGAAGAAGCAAACAAACAACACTTGTCTGTCACAGGCCAAATCAGAATCGGATATAGCTAATGTAGTGGCTATTGATCATGTCAATATTAATTGGAACAAAAGAGCTCGAAGGGCTGACTCGCCACAGGAACCTATTTCTTTAAGCTCTCACGATCTTCAAACTCTACTCGCAGATACAAAGGATGATCATCAAGACTCCCCAATCGCAAAGGTTTTGACAGCCCAAACCGCTTTAATGGCCAAGCCGGCTGCTGACATCAGTGTACTTAATAAAAACCCAAAACACCCAAATCCAACAAAGTCGCATGTGATTTGGTCCTTGAGCATTAGAAGTATTCACTGTAGTTTTGATATCTTTTTGGCTTTCATTGCGACACTCAGTGTGGGAGATGATGTTAACCTACAATTAAAAATGTATACCTACTCATGTAATTCTATGCTGTATTGTAAGGATTGCACTTGCGCAATTCTATCCGGAACCCACTCCATCAAATACCTGGGTGTCGCTGTGGACGATGGTCTTGATTGGAAGGAGCATATCGGTGCTATAGCTGCTAGGTCAAGAAAGATGATTTACATCTTTAAAGATTTGAGACAAGTTGCTGACCATAGGCTCGTCATTCAAACCTATCGTGTATTGTGGGAGTGTCTAATCAGGTACTGTGTTTGTGTTTGGGGTGGTGCATGTAAAAGTTATCTGATCACGGTAGAAAATACCCAGCCATACTGAAAATAATCATGTTCCTACCACCATGTTCCACCCTACTTCTGATGTTTATGCTAAAGCTGACGTTTTGTCGGTTAGGAGGTTATTTATACTAGAAGCTTTGAGGAGATTCCATAAACTGACTGTGCCCCTATCACCTCCACCCTCTAAAAGGGTGGATTTGTAAGGTCATAATTTGTGCGTAGACAGTAAGGTGTTATAGCGCCCACTATTTATAATGCTGCACTCAAATCAAAAGTGATAGATAGGACCTCAAACTAGAAACTTAAATTCTCTATAGTGAAATGGCTTCAGAAAATGACCTACGACGAAATGAAAGTACACCCAAGGATAATCCCCGGTTGATGCAGGACTATTGCGAAGTGTGGTAAAAGTTGAAAGGCTTTGGGTTGCTGTATGGGTTTGGGTTGCTATGGACTGGTGGATATGATAACGATGTAAATACTATGACCCCTGCCTCTGACCAATATTGATACATACGGATAAACATGCAGGGGGCGACTGGCAAACTCAATTAATGGGCCCCCGGAAGAGGCAACATACGTTGAGCTGCTTGGGGAAAAAAGAGGCATCCCACGGCTATCAGAGCAATCTCGGAAGTACGGTCAAGACCCCTACCAGCACCTTACTGAGATACATCCTTCCCCCGAGTCTCCTTCAACTCTTGCCAATCTAAACTCAAGCCGGCCAATTAAGGCAAGAATGAGGTAGGAGGGCTTGTTCTTCATCAGTTTCACTCCAGTTCGTCACGAGGACAAACCGGAGATGAAGAACAAGACACCTCCCGGAAGTCAGGTCCGTGGGGTCGCCACTGCCCAACAGCTCGCCACAAGCTGCCTTGCGGATTTATTATTTTTATATAAACTGACAAGGCACCGTTAGGATATTAATCGTTTTAAATAGTTCTCCCAGAGATTCGCGATGGGGCAAGTTATATATCGCTCCCTTTTGCAGAATAAATGTTGCTCGACCCCACAGCCAAATTCCGTACGATATAATGCTGTGAAAATAGCTGAAATAGACAAGCTGTGTTCACGTCTGTGAGCTGTCTAATCTGGCTAACTGCAAAAACAGCTGAGCTTAGTCTTTCCGAAAGCGTCTTTATGTGGGAACCCTATTGAAATTTATTGTCTTGTGTGATACCTAGGAACAATGTCCAGTTGACAAATTCTAACTTTTGCCCATTTAATCTTATGTCATAATCATACTGTGTACGGTTGGCAAGCTTTTAATATATTTTGTTTTTTTTTTCTCGTTAAGTGCTAAATCGTAAACCAATTATGAACTTGTTGAATGGAGCTGTTTCGTCAATACCATCAGCAGCTCGACCTATTTAAAAATTAATGATGTATCATCTGCAAACAGCGCTATTCTTGGTTCAGTTTTAAATAGAAATGGCAAGTCATTAACATACACTAAAAAGAGAAACGGACCTAATATTGAATCCTTTGGAACGCCCATACTTATCTCAGAACCCTGTGATTTAGAAACACCTGCATGAACCCTCAGCTGCCTATCCTCTAAAAATGATTTCAATAGACGGAGTGCAGTATGTCTAATCCCGTAGTGATCTAATTTCAGCAAAAGTGTTTCATGATCAACGCAATCGAACGCTTTTGAGTGGTCGCAAAAGATACCAACAGCATCCCAAGGACCGAAAACTTCCTTCATCAAAGTGACACCGGTGTCAGTTGTACAACGATCTTTAGTGACACCGTATTGTTGGTGATGGAAGATGGCATGTTAATCAAAGTGATGAAGCATCCGAGATAGCGTTAACTTCTCAAACATTTTGCTGAGGTCCGGCAGAACACACACAGGCCTATATTTGTTGGTTGGTCAGTATTTTTGACTCGTGGCAGGCATAACTTTACTTTATTTTATTAGGTTCGGGAAGACACCGTCATCCTTACTGTTATTGAAATTCAAAGCCAAATACGATGCTACAGTTCGGATGAGTGATCCGCAGATAGAATAGAACGACTACACGAAAGCGACTCGTATCACGCCACGCACTCCACAAACGAATAATATTAAATAATGTTATCTTTACAATAGATTCAGAAAAGCACGTAGATAACATATGACTCTCTGTCTATGCAAACAGGAACTTCTCGAAGCACCTATGCCACGTCAGCACCCTGCGTAGAATGACAGGGGGCATTGCCTTCTCATGAGCCAGGGATCAAACACTGGGTAAAATACCTCGATGGTGTTATTCCACTATTTCGCCACTACGACTGGGCGAAGTTCCGACAGGTGAAATCTTATTCACCGTTGCACATAAGAGTCATACTTACGTCTCCAGTTCGGGCATCCAGCTAGTAAATAGATTTCCCTTGTAGAATATCGTGAGACCCGGACGGCCATCACCCAATGCGGTTTTTATAAAACACCACCGTATATGGCCATGAATGGTCACGAATGGGCGAAAGTTAAATCCACAGTCCTATCGGCTGTCCAATAACAATCATAGCTTTATAATGGACTCCTCGGCGATAAATTTTCTTAAGTTTTTTGCAATTTACAGCAGCAGCAGCATGGACGATGATCGAATAAGAATTGGGATGTTTTATTTGCATGAACGACAGTAGGTCGAATGTCAAATCACAAATGTGAAAGAGTGAAAACTAGAGATATGCCTCTGGTATGTTTACTACTAATGTGTATTTTGCACATAACCTTTGGTAGACATGGAATATCAGGACCTTTAGTCATGTAAATAGTTCGATAATAACGATCCATCGTTTCATATCTGACCCTACTATAAAACTACATCTCTTAATGGGTAATGAAGTCAGTAACTACCTAAATAAATGACGCAAGTAAAAAGCTTAAAAAATATAAAAAAGGAAATTAAATTTATGTTATTGGGATAAGCACTTGACGTACCTAGTGCTTAGGAGCAATTTGAAAATATTCATTGCGAAAATAAATACGTAGGTACGACTTACATTTTATCTAATTAAGACGATCACAAATACAAAATAACAACACACTTTTATTAAAGAAATATAGTTTGCGTTCTTATTATTAAATAATGTTAAAACTCAACACTAAAATAAATAATTCAGCCAATTAGATATGTCTCTAAAAATCTGTTAATTACTTAAGTCTAAGTATTTACAACAACTTATTTAATTTATATCTACATATTGTTTGAAACAGTGTGACAGCTAATTACAGTCCCAGACTGCTTCATATTGTCCATTTATCTACGTAATAAAAATAATATTTGTGTTGATTATATACAAAACTATAGAACACTATTATTTACTGAAAATGTATTTTATTTGAGGAGGGCCTCATAAACATTATTCTTTATGGATTGTCAGCAAACGAACACACTTAGGTATCAATTTGATGTTGAGCAAAACCACAGAAGTCACAAGTGCGTTGACGCTCCTTAAACTCGAAAAATTTTGATATTTTTACAAATTCAACTTATCTTAAATATTTAGGCTAGATGTTGTGGGAACTTGGCTACTTAGGGTTATATGTATAAAATTATTCGTTGGCAATCTTTTAACATAAAATAACTGTCAGTAGCATTAAACATATAGCCTACCTTCATAATATTGCATAAAGTTTGACATTGTTATGTGGGTGAATAAAGGATTTTTTTATCGTAAGTTTACGATCATACTACAGAATTTGGAGACAATGCTTTTATTTTTTTTAACATCCTTATAACAATAACTGTTTTATTCGTACATGAAAACGAAGTCTTTTTTGGCACATAATGTACCAAGTACCTACAAAATTTTTGATCGTTGTGATATGCTGTTATTCTCTAATCTTCATTAAGAAGCATCTTACTTAGATGCTTTTTAATATACGTTGAAATGTTATAAAAATTTGGCAGACGCGTAAATAATAAGTAACCAGTATCGTTAATACCTTCAAGATAATTATGATATAATAGAGAAGTGATCAGACATCATTGGCATGTCAAAATGCTCGGATATTAAATCCGAATAAAATAACGAATTAAAAGATTGAAAATCATTAGTTTAAAAAATATCTTTTTCAGTGAAACTAACATGTAGTCATGTCTATATCAATGATATTATAAGTAAAATGGTGTAGATAGGTTACCTAAACAAAATTCGATTTTCAAAAAAGACACACTGATACACTCATGAACAATTCGTATGTTTAGACGTCAAAGTGAGATGGCATGATTCAATAATCGCGAGTGAAAAAGAGACAAATATGAAAAAAGCGTGGCTAGTTAGCCACATTTTCATGTATCACTCGCTGAGCGCTTGTAACCTATCTACACCATTTTACTTATAATATGATTGGGTCTATAATAATATATAATATAAGTAAATAAGTACCTAGATACTATCTATAAGTACCTATCTACTTTTGTAGAGAGTACCTGATACCTCAAGGAGTACGGGTCTACACTGGTATCTTAAAGTGAGTTAATAATATTAATAAATGCATACTTAAAGTAATATTTGTATAAATTTCACACAGATACACAAATTATAACATTTCACTTCGATGGCACCTTTACAACTATCTGATCACATAATTTCCCATTGATAAAGCTTTTCAAAGTTGTAACATTAGAATATTACTTACATATTCATATTTTATCTTAATTATACAAAATATACACTAAGTCCATTATATAAATCTTAACATAAATATCTTAAAACCCAATCGTTTATGTCAATGTGTTTATGTCTTTTTTGTTGTTGATAAATAATATTAGATACTGTCTGAAACTTAACAATGATAAATTAATATTATTTTCTATACTTATCGTGTATTAGTATAATATTCTGTAAAAATTACATCAACAGAGTAAGTTTATATCGGGATATTATCAAAGATATGTGTTCCAAAGAAAGATATGTGCCCACTTCAAACAGGGTTTCAATTTTTTTATAAGAGCCATTAAAAATATTCCTACAACAATTCTCTGTCTAACGTAGTCAAATATATGTATAAGTACCTACTTCAATATACTCGACTATATGATGCATAATATGTACAAATGGATCACGTTCCTTCCTTAACAAACATACATTAAATATACAGTAATGATATTATACTTTAGGCCTGGTTATGCATGTATGGTTAAGTACATGCATCAATATCCTTTAAATTTCAATCAGTTATTTATAATATGTTATTCTCGACATATAACTATGTTACTAGACTAAACATTTCATAATATCACAGGTTTCGACATTCTTTGTTTTCATGAACAATACGTTTGGCATTCATTGACAGTAACAATACAACTTGAGCTGGTAGTGGTGTACGCAGTGGCTCTGGTTGCCGTACAGGTTAAGCCGACTGATGGCGCCGGCGAGGCTCCACTTGTCCTTGTGCTTGCGCAGCGTGCCTTCAAACACGCCGTCCCCGGGAGTCGTGCGCACCACTGCCATGAACTCTCGCCACCCCACCTCGTCCTTCCTCGGCGTCCCTACCATCATCTCTGTTACGTGCAACACTTCGGAAAGTGCAAGTTTTGCACATTCTTTGTGTTCTTCTAAATAACCATTCAAATGTTCCACAAGTTCCTCGGCTACTTCCTGAGCGTCAAAGCTACTTGTGGATATTTTTATATTTTTGTGACAAGTACACCATTGATCATCGATATCTGCCATAGAGCAGGTTCGATTACTTGGTATCGGTAAAAACAAACTTATACTTTTTTTATGAGCATAAAATGATTCAGTTCGTTTTAGGATATTCTCATCATTTATTTCTTCCAGATTTATGAGATCGGACAGAGTAGCGTAAATATCGTACGGTGTAGTTAATCGCTTGCTGTTTAATTTTAAGTTTTCATATGCTAGATTGTAGTTTTGTTTAAACGTAGGCGGCAACATTATGTGTACAAACGGCAGGCGTTCTTCTAACCGACCTTGTTTTGTCAATCTGATGGAACCCCATCTCATTCCATGATCACTTAGTAATATTAGAACAGTTTTATTTAAATAATTTCTACTATCGAGTCTTTTCAAAAAGCTTTCATAGCTAGCATCCATTACCATGGGGTAAGTTAAGTAGTCATGACTCATAGATACCTCCCAAAAAAATCCAAACAATTTCGAGTTTTTTAACAGAGCCGTTAAATCTAGAATATAATCAAGCAAAACTTGGTAAAAATATTTGTTGCCCATGCAGATATATGAATTGAAATCTAAGATGTTTCCAACATTTTTTTCAGCCTCGTAGATAAAAGTTCTAATATAGTAATCCGTGGGTGTTTTGATAAAACCATTTCTTAGAAAATTAAACGTACCTAATTTGGCAGTATCTTCTCCTAGAGCTGTCTGGAATCCAGCTTCTTTAAACCACTGCCAGATAAATGGACAGTTATCAAAGTTAGCATTGGTATCCGGCCAACAAGTTCTTTTTAAATCAGTTTCTTTGATACCAAGTAGCATCGGTGTCAAATTAGGAAATGTATTGTCATCCACTTTGTTGTAACCTAGTAATTCTATAGCACCTTTATACTTAAGGTAAGCCACGGTTTTTGGCATGGTTCTATAAAAGTTTAATCTTGATATGGAATCCATACCCATTATAATAACATTATAATAAGATTGAGTTTTGTTTATGTTTGTCTGCTTCTTTTTGTGTTCGTGTATTTTTCTTGCAAACAGAAAGTACTGTTTGTATGTTATGTTACTATTATAATAGCAAGTAACTTTCACAAATTCATGTTTTACTTGAATACTATGCGAAAAATTTTCGCAACTTTCATATTGAGCTCGGTCGTCCACGTGTGAGGAGTAAACATCGTTGATGGAATTTGGTCTGTAAAATGATTGGTAACAACATGAGATATTTTTGTTTCTGGGTATATCGTGATTACCTAAAAGTTCCTCATTGATCCAGATATGTGTTTCGTTGCTTTGTACAAGAGAATAGTTAGCGTTAGGACAACTTTTTAACTTCGTTGGAGGACGATTGAATGCTTTGATGGCATCATCGAACGCTTTTAGGCCGGGAATTGTACAACCTTCTGTTTTGATTGTGAAACTTGTTTCTTGTTCAGAGTCGAAATCTAAAGAAGACTTCAATTGCTCGTTGTTAATGAGAAATATTTCTGTTCGATTAATGAGAGAAAATATAATAAAACTGCTACCGAACACCATTGTGAAGAGAAATAAGAATCGAAATTGCGTCGGGATCGACCGCAGCCTGTTGTTGTTGCCCTTTGCCAGCTGAGCCATTCTGAAATGTAAAAAAAAATTACATTTAGATACTTATTCATTTACTTCTTATGTATTTTGTAATGTAAATAAGTAACGTGTTTAAATGGCAACAAATTGAATTTTACCCAAAGGGCAAGAGTTGTGTGACTCTTTCAAACAACATCGTCATCATTTATTATATCAGCCATAGAAAGGTCACCGCTAAATAAAGGGCTTTCCCAATGATTCCGAGCGATATCTAGCTACTCCCTTTCATTTAGACATGTGTAAAAACCGCATGAATAAATCTTTAAGCACAATGCAATGACAATAATGGAGTAGGTACCATTAGAATACGAGCAGCAATAATCATTATGATCGGCCATCACAATAAAATTATCAATATGGTAGGTATTGTTAAAGTTGTACGCGGGAAGATACCTATATATCAATAAATTACTCTATGTGCATTGTGGATGTATTAAATGAATCTTCCGCATTAATATATCGAGGAGGTTTAAGTCAGTAAGAGTCTGACAAAGCCGGGAGAAGAAATTTAATGAAACTTTCTCTCAAAAAAATAAATACGATTTGAGAAATCCCGACGACTCAGAACTTTTAATAAAAACTTTTAAGAATAAAACTCTGCCGAAATGTTTCAACGACAAAAACTGGAATATTTCGAATCATTAGGCTGACTGAAGCTATATGCATAGTACATAACTAACTTTTAACTAAAGCGGTAGGTACCTGGATGACTGATGATTTTATTTTCACATTTTTGAAAAACTAATCCATATGAAAGTTGTTGGAGCCTTTCCGAGATTTACCCCCGGTTTCCGAAAGGCCGATCAATGTTAAAATCAATTTAATCTCTTGTCAAGTCATCTGATTGGTTGAATGAATTATCAACAACCAATCAGATGACTTAACAAGAGATTAAACAGGAAATTAGTTAATTTTAGCGTTGACAAGCCTTTCAGAAATCGGGTGTTAGATTAAGTATACATATAGGTTTTACAAGAATTGCTAACTAGCATTCATCCTTTAAACATAAAGATATAAAATATTTCTAAGGTAATTTCTGACCAAAAAAGAAATAAATCTATACAAAGTTCATACATATTGGTAAACTATTTCATTTAAGTTACAAAAAGTTTATAACTCCTCCTGAAATTACGAAATCATCTTTGTAGTAACTTGTGGAGGTAAAGAATAATGTAATTCTTGTGTACATGTTTGTTCGAAAATAATGTCCAAAATTATTTTCGAACAAACATGTACATACAAGAATTAAACTGGTACTTGGGTGATTCTTCACATCAATTAAGAAAAATTTAATAATGTCATTATCCTCAACCGAAAATTAACGAGTCTGCTGATTAAAACACAGATAATTATTTTATTAAATTAAATCTCACCACTGCTTACAAGCAACCGATTAAAAATATTGTATAAAATAAATTACTAAGATGCTTAAAAACCTGGGAGGATAATGACTTGTTAAATAAAAGTTAAGGTTTTTTGGAGAATCACCCACTTATTTATGAGTATATAACCTCATACGTTTTGCTTGTTTTTTTTGTGAAAAGTCGTCTATAAGTACATAAAAATAGAACTTCATATATAATTATCACATTATGATCATTGGGGTTGCTGAGTTTGTCTTTCTATTATTATGTTTTATTTTGTTTATGTAATTAATGATAAGTTCAAAATTCTTATCTTTCATAGTTTCCAAACAAAACAAATTGAAGCCAAAAATGTGTTTCTTACCTTTGAAGTTTACTTAACGTCGGATAAATACGAAGTGGCAACAACGGAAACTGAAGTTAATACAACAGAAGCGCACCACACCATTTTAATAAAAAAATATATTTACTTTTTGCACTGATTGATTCAAATTTGTTTTGACACTGAGGTATCGGGCCTGCGTCAATACGCACATGTTTCATAACTGTAATGTCAATGGGATGAGCGGTTCACTGGTCATTGTGCAGCCCACGAAGGCCGAGGCCGGCTTCAGCATTCGCTTCAATACTGACGAGAAATCACTGAGAATGAAGTTTAGTTTGTTGCACAGTCCCTATGAGACATGTAAGCAAGATAGCACTAGTGATCCAAGTATCGTATGGGGAGACGGAGCAGAGGGGTCGAGGCGGAGGCTGCGCGCATGCGCCTTGACGTCCCGCGGAGTTATGAGGCCCTTGACGCTCTGGCCGCGAGACACTGCACATCCAAGTAGGTATTACCTGACATCCTTAGTACCTAATATATGGAAATATTTATTAGGTACTCGTAGATAACAATACATTTTTTGTTGCGCGTTTTTATTATTTTATTAGTAAGTACATAAATATTATCACTTGTACAGTAAACTATGAACTTGGAACCCTGTTTAAAACTAGTATGAAGTTTATAAATTTTAACACAGGACTTAACTTAACCTTTACACTTTGCTTGCTGAGTAGGTGTCTGAATAGTTTCTACGTATCTACACATTTAATTCCACATATCTAGTGTGGCTTTAAGTGCAAAAATTCAATAAACGGACGGAGACCTCAGGACAATTTTATTTTTTCTTTTCGTTCACTTCTAAAGTTGAAGAAATTTTTATTCATTTCCACATATTTATTAAAATAACACTAAAATTACATTTTTAATAATTAGATACTATAAAATATAAAAATAGGGGCCAGCCGGCAGCGGGAACAAGGTCCTGCGGTTAGGTTAAAGAGCTCCGGTGGTTAGGGCTCAAGAGACAGAAACCTCCTTATAATACGTGCCGGTTCAAGGAGGACTGCCTTCTGTATAAGGCCCTTGATCCAGCCGTCTAACGTCAGCCTCTTGAGGTGGTTGTCGAGGCTTTTGGGGACTTACCCATTCTTAAAACATCTTATTTATTTTATCATTATTATTCTATATTTACAGGGATTACTTTCATGCGACAGAAATATAGACTAAACTAAACTTTATAACACACAATAGAACAAAAATCCAAACTTTTAAAATTGTTGAACAAGTAATTTAAATAGACACGAAATAAGGGAAACAACACAAACGCAATCCCCGTATTTTATATTTACCTAATAGAGATAGGACAGTTAAGTTCCTGAATGCAATATCAAGCGAAGAGCAAAAAAAATCTAGCGCTTTTCTATGTATTCTTTTTTATTCACTTAATTAGAAGTGAATAAAAAGAATGTTAATACAAATAAAGGGCTATGATATATGACGAAGGCACTATATGTAATGTGCTGCTGATGTACCCACGATGTCAAAAGCTCTGCACCGCCTTTCTACATTTCTATCCTGTAAGAGCCTTGCATTACATCACATCACATACTCTGTATATCTACTGGCTAAAAACAAAAAACTGCCGCATGTACTCAAACCATCAGTTTAACGCAAAATTAATTTATTGTCGTAGCTAGTTCGTTGATCATTCCTTTTATAGCGATTTATTATAGAAATTGAGATACTAGGTTACATCCTTGTGCCTGAGTGTCATCTGACGATGAGTTTGGGATGGATTCATGTTTTCACCATGCGAGAATCACCTCAGCAGAATTACGGAAGGAGGATGCCCATATTATCACTACATAGTCGATTTCTCTGTCCCTATATCTCTATGTTTGCTTCTATAATGTACCCTTAAAACTGCGCAACGAATTTTGATGCGGTTTATATAATACTTTTAGTATATAAACCCACATATACTACTTGTAGATTGTATTAAGTAATAGTTATAAGAAAAAAGTAAGTAAAACATACGCAAATACATGTTAGGTACTTAATTTATAAATTATTACAATAACAAAATAGTTTTACAGTGGGATCTTCAATACACGTAGTCCGAACGTCAAGAAAGTTCAGTCGCTTCACACGATCTATGATAGTCCAATTGTCATTGTAAAGCCGCATTATCGTCTCCAACATGCTGCCCCCAGGCGCCATGCGCACGATCACATCAAAGTCCCGCCATTCGTCATATCTTGTGTAAATTGGTACCATTTCTTTTGCCATTACAATATCGTCCGCTGTGAGACTCACACATTCCGGATACTGCTTCAACATCTCGTTTATTTCATTTGTGAAATAGCTGACTGCGTCCAAAAGTACTGGGCTATTTAGTGCTACATTTACTTCATTATAGCAAGCGCACCACATGGCTCTAATACCAGCCATGTCGCATGTTCTGTTTCTGGGGATCGACAAGAAAAGGCTAATGCGCCTATTGTGCGTATAAAATTCTCTACTTCTTTCTAAAATCTCCTTTTCAGTAATGGCACTCATGTCGATGAGATCTACTAATGTGTCATGCAAATCAAAAGGTGTTGTTAGACGTTCTTTATTAACCTTTAAATTGTGGTAAGCCAGTCTGTATTGTTTACGGAATGAAGGTGGCATCAACATGAAAACAAATGGCAGTCTCTGTTCAATCTGGCCTTGTTTAGTATGAAGTATATTTCCAGTGTCCATACCGTGATCACTTAAGAATATTAATATCGTTTTATTTAAATAGCCAGTGGAATCCATCTTATTTATAAACTCAACATACGCGTCATCCAATAACGCAGGATCGTTTAGATTATCATGAGTCATCGTTGTTTCCCAAAAAAGCCCGAATAATCTTGATTTCTTTAGTGTTTTAGTTAGACTCTGAATATAATTTAAAAGAATTTCGTAGTAATATTTGTCCCCCATACAAGGGGATACGACTTTGCTTCTTTTGGTATATTTCACATAACTTTCACTTTTTGTCTCTTGATTCAAAGTTTCAGCTTCATGTATAAATGGATGTAAATAATAATCAGTAGGTTTCCCATGAAAACCACTCTTCCATTGATTAAACATACCTAACTTCGCAGTATCTTCCACCAACGCTGTGTAGTAGCCCACGTCTTTAAATCTTTCCCAAATGTAAGGACAGTGGTCCAATGAAGTCCATGGATCTTTCCAACAAGTCATTTCTATTTCTTCAGTGTTCATGCCAACCAGGACCGGCATCATATTTTCAAAAGTGTTACCAGCTACAGTATTATAACCTTTTAGTTCGACGGCTTCCAGTTCATTCAGTAGTTGGAGGGTTTTAGGCATCGTCCTATAAAAGTTTTGTCTTGACATTGACCCTATTCCCAACATGATAATATTGAAACGTTTTTTGCTAGCGGGCCACGGTTTGAATGGATTGGTTCTAGTGTTAGTGAATTCTTTTTTCGGTGTAAACACAAAATATTGTTCGTATATTATTTTGTTTTCGTAGGAACAATTCACTTTTACAAATTCATTTCTTACTACTATGATGTCATTAAAGAATATGCAACCGTGATATTGGATGTTATCGTTGTAGTAGCGTGATGTATTTGGAACAGCTAGTGGTCTATGGAAGGATTCATAACAACACATAAAGTTTGATTCGTCCTGAACTTTATGGTGTATAAAATTACTTTTCACCACCCATATGTGAGTTTGGTTACTTACTAACAGACGGTTATAATAATTGTTACATAATTTTCCATAATTGTTTGTTTTCTTTATGTATTCCTGTATCGTGACGTCACGTGTATTGATGGTTGGAATGACGCAGCCCACCGTACTTTCAATATTTTGGTCAATTTCATACGAATCAAAAGTATTATTAAAAGAGTCTTCGAGGAATAAAGCTCCTTGTGGATTGTAGTAGCACCAACTCATTCTTCCACAAATTAAAACTTGTAATAAAACTATACAAATTATTGTTTTCCTGTCCGTTTTCTTTTCTATGTATTGAAGATTCATTACGATATTGACGATAATATTACTTTCAGGTTGCTATGTTTAAAAACTTTTGAAAACAACAATGCCCGATTGCTTTTATTGGTTGAATGTAGTAGGAACACTTCCGATGTTTTAATAACACTTCACCTGTTACAAAACCATGCTTTGTTTATTAGACTGACTTTTTATTTTATTTTGAGTTGAATTGTCGTCTTTTTCTTCTTCGTAAATACATAAGTATCACGAAATTAAGATTGCTTTAAGTTACCTTATATTATGAAATTACATAAATTATTTATTTATTTAAAAAGCACGTTCGTTTGAAACTTTTTATAATACCCGTAGACCATAATATTATGTTCCACAATAAGAGAGTCAAAAGACCACCATAGATGCAAGCGCCATAATGTAACGGGTCCGAGGTTGAGAGCAAGAGAAGGAATGGGGGGTTTTTAGTCTGTAAGAGTCTGGCACTCCCTATCGCCTCTTTCTGGTCGAGAGGAAATATTTTAATGATTTACTCCCTTAAAAAGACCATAATTGGGTATTTCAATGTTTGTTTATAGATAAACGTTGTCAATATTTGCCTCGTTATTATATGGTTCACAAAAAACATAAAGTTATCAATAAATCACTAACCTGTATTATTTGATTTAATAAACTGTAGGTAAAAGGGGAAGTGAGCAATGAATGTGGCTTGTGCGCGGTTCCGTGCCGTTTCTAAAACAGTTTTTAAACAAAGTTTGTTTGAAAACCAGTAAAACTACAAGCAATTAACACGGGCTCGACACAACTAGGTATAAACGAGCGTTTTCCAAACAACTGTTAAACCTTTTTAGCTATTACATGGTTTGATATTTTTTATTGGTGCTACTAAGAATAAGTTTTAATGTACTTCAATACTATAAACTAAGATAAGTAGGAACATTTAGGCTGTGAATTATCCAATGCATGTACCTACTATGGCAGACCTCGAACTATGAACATGTTTTTTAATGGGAGAAGATATGGAGTCAGCAAGCGCAAGCATTACTATCATTTAATCGCATGGTACATAATTATACAATAGTTACATAGAGACATCGATTGAATATGATTCTAGATGAAAATTCCTTAAATGATTTATGTCAATTCATGAGATAACATACAACAAGGCTATGCTGCCAACTTTATGGGCATATTGATTGTAGAAATCGACGCTGATGATTTTTTATGCAATTTAAGAATGTAGTTACTAAGTTTTAATTTAGGTAATTTTGATGAATGTCTCGATGCTAATAAATAGTTTTGAGTAGCTTGTAGATAATCTGTCCTGTATTCACACAACTCTAAACCATACTGAAAATCATTTCAGGGTCATTACCCAAAATTAGCATCAGGCGTTTAATTGATGGGCGTATATATATAATTAAATAACAAATATGTATATCTCAAGAAACTAGTTTAGTCTACGAAAGAAAAAATATTTGTATAAATATTTTTTTGTTCAGAGCCGAGTGAGAACATTTTTTTGTAAGTAATTGGTTCGTTACAAAACAATTCAATTACACACACAATTTAGTTTTATAGCCATATTTTTTATATTCATCAAACGATTGTAATCCGAACGTGAAAATGAAAACGATAGAACATCGTACTTATGTTCTTTAAAGATATATTGCCATGGTGAATAAGCTTCGACTACGAACAAAAATCGGATTTTGATTCACAGATAAGACAGTACAAATAAATGAAAATGTAATTACGAACATAGTTATGTACGTTTTATTAAAAAGTCTGTAAATCTTTCGAAAACTGTAACCGCACACTGGGTACGAGTAGTGTCGACCCTAATAACATAACTGATAAACCTTCATAGTACACCAAGTCCTAACTGATTCCTTCCTTTAAATCAAAGTCTTTTATATTTTTCTGTTACCACTAAATTGGAGGCCTTTGTTCAGCAAAACATCTTCTGGCTGATGATGATGATTTTTTTTTTATGTAGTAGGTCGGCAAACGAGCGACGGATTACTTGATGGTAAGCAATCAGCGCCGCCCATGGACACTCGCAACGGAGGAGTTACGACTGCGTTGCCGACTTTTAGGGATTAGGGATTTGGAGATTTAGGGATTGAGGAGGGATTGGGGAAGGGGAAGGATTGGGCCTCCGGTAACGTCACTCACAGGGCGAAACACAACGCAGTGGTTATTTCACGCCGGTTTTCTGTGAGGCCGTGGTATCACTCCGGTCGAGCCGACCCATTCGTGCCGAAGCATGGCTCTCCCACACTTAAATGATGACTATAATCTTAGTAATAACGACATTGCACAAGAACTGATTCTATACTTCACTTAGACTTAGTACAATCGTGATTTTACATGGTCTATGCTTTAATTTTACAGTACGTTTACACTGCGTAAGCAAATTATTTTATTAACGGAATAATTTTCTTGTTTAGGTATTGTTATTTTACATTAATTTTTAACGGCTAAGAAGAAATTAAACATAGAATAGGCATTTTTTGCCCAATCTTTCCTCTACCCTAATTCCCAAATCTCCAAATACCTCCCAAAAGGTCGGCAACACACTCGTAACTCCTTTGTTGTTGCGGGTGTCCGGCGGGCGGCGCTGATTGCTTACCATCAAGTAATCAGTCTGCTCGTTTGCCGGCCTATCACACAAAAAATAGAATAATTCTATAAACCATATAGGTTGGTAGTCGGATAAACCTTCGCTTTGAGTATCTTCGCGTGACGATCTCTGGTCACCGGGATGACTAGAACCAAACCCGAGCGTATAGCGAGGTACGTTGTTCAGCCGGGTAGCAAAGCAAGCAAGTAAAGTGCATACGCAATAATTAAACGCGGCTCCGATCTGAAGGAGGCGAAGGAAGAATTTTTGAAAGAAAAAGAAAAAATACATTAAAAGAAACAATACACTACAACAATAAACAATAATACATTTAATATGAAATTCATTTAATTGAAATCGTTTCTATTTATGAAATGTAAAGTTTACTATATATAAAAAAACTATTATTCTATACTTTAAGTACCAAATTTTCTTTGAGGAGTGGCTTGAGAGACGCCACGGCGTCCTCACCTTCCGTCTGACGCAGGTGCTTACCGGGCACGGCAGCTTCGGTAGGTTCCTGTTTCGGATTCAGCGGGTGTCGTCATTGTGAGGACCACCTAGAGGATACGGTGGAGCATACGGTAGCGGTATGCCCAGCCTGGGCTGAGCACCGCCGTATCCTCAGGGAAGTGATCGGCGGCGGCGACCTCTCGCGCCCGGCCTTAGTCGAGGCCATGGTGCGGAGTGAGAGGAACTGGGACGCCGTCTCCTCCTTTTGTGAAGCAGTCATGCTCGCAAAGAGAGAGGCGGCCCGCGTGAGGGAGCAATCCTCCTCCTCACGCCCCAGCAGCCGCAACTGGCGACACTACGGGCGTCGGGGATCGAGGGACGATCTCCGGCCACCGTAAGTACGGGCCTGCGGTCGGCGAGTAAGGGCAGCTCGCCGCCCGACCAGAACCAGGCCCGAGCGTACGGCGCGTAGCGTTCCGCGCGCGCCTCAAAGAGCCAATAGACCACCACAGACGGGGCCCTAAAGGGCTGATGTTCAGCCGGGGTTGCGGGGTAAGCGCAATGAGGTACCGCGACCTCGGCACAGAGCAGGAGAAGGAACAGGGGGGTTTTTAGTCAGTAAGAGTCTGACACTCCCTCCTGCCCGGCCCTGGGCGGGAGAAGTCATTTGATGATTTTCCCCTCACAAAAAAAAAAAAAAAAGTACCAAATTTTACTACATACACAACATTACAGAGCTTGCAAAAGTGTATAGGTATACAATAACACCTCCAATAAATCGGAGGTGGATAAAGATATTCGGAGCAAATAAGGGAAGGAAAGAAACAAACATAACCCACAATTTCCCTTAAGCGCAAAGTTCTTAAACTTAATTGAAACTTCGTTTACAATTAAGTACTAACGTTGAAAGAGTTTATGAACTAATTCTACAAGGTCTACGAATGTTATAAGACCTCGTAGCAGGTAACAAGTCTTAAAACGCCTTGTAATTGCATACTAAACGAGTTCGTAGCAATGTACTAAATAATAAAGGGTTTCGTAGTAGCGTGTATCAATTTAAGGAAGTCGTAGCAGACTACATACTTTGCTACGAGTTCAAAATACGTACAAGGTACACAGGCTGGAGGTCTCGTAGCAAATGAACAAGAACTTCGTAGCATGCTACGAAACTATTTCATTATAATAATATGCTACGAAAATTTGTTGTTAACTCCTTTATCATACTACACCGAGGGTTCCGAATTTGGAAAGGTCTTCTAGTAGCAAGCTGTTTTATGATTTTGTGTAGCAATTGTTGCAGAACTTAAATAGACAAATAAAATTGTTTTTATTCCAATAATAATTCTATGTAACATCACTTTCATGACGGTAGGCATACTGGTGCAAATAAAACTTTTTAATCATAAATAAACTCAAAATAGAGATCAGTGCTCCCTAAGCAATTACATTTAAAGTTGTTTCGAGAGGGGAGACCGGGTGGGTTTAGTACGCATGCGCGGAAGTACCGGTGATGGCAGCGCATTTAGAGGCTAGCTTACTTTATGTAATAAACTAGTACATTTAACGGTTAATGTAAACAGTTTCCTTGACCACCTGCCGCATAAGAGATATGAATGAGGACCACTTCGTTTTCCCTCGAGGTAAGTCAACATTTTTGTGGTGATAAGGTTAACCAATGCTCGGAAATCGATCGTTAAATAACACAAGCATAACCTTAATTTACATTGTGACTCGTACCATTTGGCTTTAACGCACATTTTGTTTTTGTTTAACCGCTTCCGTGAGTATTGGTCGAAAAAAACATGCAACAATGCGCTTAGCTAAATAAATATAAATATTGTGAACCTATGTTTCCGTTATGACAGTCAGAACGTCAGGTTCAAATTAAGAATTCAGGAAGTTTCCTTGGCAGTATAAGGATTGTGTAGTAAAAAAAATATTTAAAAGTGCTATAATTCAATATTTCAAATATGGACCCTATCTCCCTATATTGAGTTTGCGCGGCATCAATTACCTTTGCCGATCCCGAAACCTATTAACATATACCTGACCTAATTTACCAGGATTATAACTTTCTTAAATGGTGGTGTGTAAGCATGCTTGTGATACGATTTTCGATAAATTTATAATGTCTCAGTTGTTATATTAGAACCATATTTGCGTGTGTAAACAATGTTATGTTTAATGTTTAAGTACATGAGCTATTTAAAGGGTAATTTCTGGATATTAGGCACTAAACCATTAGAAAATTTATAATAAAATAATGGCCGTAAGAATGAATATAAAGAATATTTACAAAGGGCGGCGTTTCTAAGTAATATGATATTAAACATAGAAATGTAAAATGAAGATTGCACTGTAGGTTTACTTAGGTGCCAAGTTGTAACTTGAATGATACGAAATTATTAGGAAAATAACTTTATTCTATTACTTGTTTAATTTTGTTTGCAGGTCCTGGCCTTACTCTTCCTCACACTGATCCCTTGGCCGGGGCCCTCAGTCTTCAAAATAACTTGCTCTCGTGACAACTCAAAAATAGTAAGAAAAGTTATAGAAAATAAATGGCTTCCAGTATTAGAGCGGTTTCAGGTAAGTTCTTATAAATATTCCACTAAAATGTAAGTGCGCAGTTGTTATTGTTTGTATTTTTGAGTTATTAATTTGAAGGGTTGTAAGAACAGGTCTGCCAGCCAACTTCTAGTAGGTTCTAAATTCTTATATAAACGCGATTATCTAAGTTGAGACTGGACTCGGGTCTTGGCGTTATGATATAGTCAGCCGGGGTTGCGGGGCAACCGCAATAAGGGACCGCGGTCTCGGCCTAGAGCAGGAGAAGGAATGGTTTTTTTAGTCAGTAAGAGTATGACTCTCCCTCCCACCCCACCATTGGCGGGAAAAGCCACTTGATAATTTTCCCCTCACAAAAGAGCGTTATGATACAATAAAGTTTAATGGCGCTTGGACAAATACACAGAAAACAGAAAACCGGCGTGAAACAACTACAGCGTTGTGTTTCGCCGTGTGAGTGAGGTTACCGAAGGCCCAATCCTTCCCCTTCCCGGACCCTTCCCCAATCTCTAATCCCTAAAAGGTATCCCTAGATCCTAAAAGGATAGCCTATTCACAAAAATAATCTTAATGTTTAATAATCACTACACAAGTCCAATATCACCTACAGATATAATTGTAAATTTCAGGTGAAACTGCCACTGGAATGTCCTTTCCACCCAGCACGCGACATATTCGCGCCCCAACATTCAGCCAAGTTACAGCACCGGCCATCACAGTGGACATGTGCTTTCTGCGGCAAGTCCTTCTACGAGGAACGACATCTAGACACACACTTCGACCAGAGGCACAAGAACCAGATTAATAAGGTAAGACTAGGGTTCTGGGAAATGGAACTGAAAGTCCTTGGAACAGAAAGTCTGTAATTGCCTATTTTTAACAAGACTTCTACAAGACCTAAGGGTGTTGTCAAGCTAAAAGAAAAACTATCCATTTGGTAAAAGAATTTCCCTACAACGAGTGCTATCGGCGAAAGATTAGTTCGTTTAACCAATCGTCGTTAAATATAATATCGTATATAATGTCGTGGTGGCCCCGGGGTTCGGGCGCCTGCTTCTCATGCATGAGGGTGTGGGTTCGAAACTTGGCAAGTACCAATGTGACTTTTTCCGAGTTATATGTACTTTCTATGATTATTTAGACACAACTGACATACGGTGAAGGTAAACATCGTGAGGAAACCTAGACTTATAATGTCTAATTATAAGTTTGAAATCGCCAACCCGCATTGAGCAAGCGTGGTGATTAATGCTCAAACCTTCTCCGTGTGAGAAGAGGCCTTTGCTCAGCAGTGGGCACTTATAGGCTGATGATGATGATGAATCGTCGTTAAATAGTGTTTTCGGTGTACCGTTACATCGGCGAAGGATTCATTCGGACTACCAACCGTCGATGAATAATATTATCCGCGAAACGTTTCATCGGCCAATAATTTTTTCGTTGAACTAACCGTCGGAGAAGTTTGTTATCGGAAAACCGTCCTTTCGGTGAGCGGTATTTCGGAATACCATACGGAGGTCGATTTAAGTAGGACCTACAGAAATATTTCGAGGAGAAAATCTAATACAGGTGCGAGTATGTCTGACACTTGTTGCTAAAACAAGAATTTTCTAATGGTTAGTATTTTAACATGCCTTTATTTATTTTGCAAGATCTGCATTTATGTTTACTTACTTGTATAAAGTAGGTACGCTTGCGAAGCGGAACTTTTAGCGCATCGAAAAAACTAATGCAGTATTACAACTTAGCATACTTTTTTTTGTAGGGAAATCATCAGGGGAAATCATCAAATGTCTTCTCCCGCCCAGGGTGAGGCGAGAGGTAGTGTCAGACTCTTACTGACTAAAAACCCCTAGTTCCTTCTACTGCTCTAGGCTCTTGCTCTAGGCTCTATTGGCTCTTTAAGGCGCGCCCGGAACGCTACGCGCCTTACGCTCGGGTCTGGTTCTGATCGGGCGGCGAGCTACCCTAACTATTTGAGACTGTATATGTATACTTAATTTGAACTTTAAGCATACTAGGTATAGGTACCTAATAATATTTTGTTATTACAGGCGGAAGATGCAGTTTGCTTGGCAGACTACTGCGACATCATGCGGTGTCAGGTGCTCGTCGCACACGGCCTCCTCAGTGGCACTGGGGGACCGAGCACTGATATTGAAGTGAGTGAAATCACTCTTGATCGAAATGTTGTACTCCCAAAAGTAATAGTAAACTTCGTATCACCAACTTGTGATACAGAGCTTGTCAACATTGATGACAAAATGTTTTTTTACGTTAAGTACTTAGTTGTACTTTTCGGAATGGACTCGAACACATTATGGTTAGGAGGTTAGATCACTAAAACTAATAACTGGCAAGAAAAGTTTTAAAACCAACCTCGTTTAGATATAAATGAAGTTATATCTGACTAAAAATTATATTGATGATGAAAAATAAACTGTAACGATTCAGGTATGGCAAGACGTGGAGTCAGTGAAAAAAGCACTGGCACCAGCAGCGACTCGGAGCGTAGCCAGAGTGTCTGCCAGAAGACGTCACAGAACGCGCACCGCGCCACCGCCCCCCATCGAAGACTGCCCGCGGTCAGAAGCTGACGCAAGAGAGGAAGAATCAGGTACCATTTATACATTTTCAATAAAAAAAGTCATTGGTTAATTGACCAAAAAAAGCATAGCTAACTGATAGAGGATGAGATTCAGAGAACGTTTCAGATAGATTCAGGAAGTATTTAGAAATGAAGTATTTTTTTCAGAAGTAGAAGAAAAAAGAACAGAAGATAATAATGACAGTGACGCCAATCAGACGGCGGAGCTCTGTGATGCGGACACCGTGGAGTCGTCGCTACCTCCCGACAGCCGGCATAAGAGGCTGGCAGACTTACAGGCAGAACGAGCAGCTTGTGACCCTACCCGCCTTCAAACACTTAAGGTCCTTTATTAAATATCTCCGAACATAAATATAACTACCTAGGTCTTGTATAGGTTCCTTAAAGAGAAAAAACTGAGTGTATACCTACAATTTTTCGCAGCAGAGCATTAGATACTCTCTTATATAATATGGGGCAATCAAACACCATGATATTACCTACATAAAAGAAAACGTAAATAAAGTGAACCGAATCAAAGACCTTGCTCGGTACTTGTTGTTCTTGCGACCTCTTGATCCGTAAGAGCCGTCTCAGAACGACTTTTTGGTTATTTCCGTGTTTTCATTCATTCCTTCATACATAGATATTATTAAGTTCTATCCCATTAATAAATTATTTTTAAGAATAAAGAGATTTTTTGTAGATAATTTTTAAGTCTGATTCGGAAGTTTATTGCTACTTGTAGATTTATTTTTCGCTTGTTGATATTTAAGTTAGGTAATATTCTTTTATTTCAGGTTCGCTGTGAAAGAATGGTACATTCATGTATAGCGACACTTCTTCTACACCTGACTCAACATCAATTCACCGAGCTTGAAGGTTTTGAGTATTTCCTTTCTTTATTGATCAGCAATACTTTTCTAATAATATTCTTTTCTACGTGCATTAACGTATATTGTTTTAAAACTAATTTTTATTAGAGGAAATGCAGCGCGCCGTATGCTGGTACCTGAGCTGTGACCGATACTGGGAGGACACGGCGCCCTCGGCACGCGCCTTCCCCTGGCCACTGTTACTGGCCCTGGCTACCGGCTTAGCTCTAGCACTTTGTATGTGCTACTACATCATATGGATTGTGTTCGAGTAAGTTACACAATCGCGTGGTAAAGGCACTAGACACGTGTGCGTAGTCACTTTTTGCTCTTATTAGATTGCAATCACAAAAAAATCATGAACGAGATTTGCAAGGTTAAAGTATAAATCACATACCGTTTGTAGATATCATGTAACATAAAACATATAGATATCACGGCTACTTTGTACACCTAACCACCACGTAGTACTTAGATGCTCACCTATTCATGTTTTTGTTTTGGGAAAGGCTGCCTTATGTACAGGCGTTTCTCATTAATACAATGGTCGATCATCTTTACCTCCAAGAAGCGGCTGAAGATTTCCCGGAGCCTAGGAGTCGAAGATCTAGGTATATACGTTACGTTTTCTATCGTACCTCGTGTATTCCAAAATTGAATGAATAACGAACTCTTGTAGCTCGGAAGAGGGCAGCGTAGCGGGCAGCGCGTCTGTGTCGATGACGACGCACTCGTCGCCGACGCGCGGCGAGCGGCTGGCGGCCGAGGACGCGATGCTGGACGACCCCGACCACGACGACCACTACATATACGTCACCTACCCGCCCGAGCTCAAGCGCAGGCTGCTCGAGAGGTACGAAGCAAACAAACTCACTCTCATCATACTGTCGCCTTATATCAGACAAACGCGAGTAGACTAACAGGAACAGGGTTTAAATTTTTCTAACTGCTGCTACTCGTAACCTCTTTGTCGATTTTAGGTATAGGTGTTTTTATATCTAACACAGTTATGCAGGGTGTCTCACGATAATGCCACATGGAGGATCTTTACTTTCAAAATGGTTCAAAATACACAGATTTTTAAATAATTGTCTGGTTAAATCGGAAATTAAACCATTTAAGGATTTACTTCTCTCTTGGTATTCACGTGATAATCAGTATGACATAGATATTCAGTTAAGTTTTCAACTGGGTATTTTTTATCAACAATTAGGCGTAGAGACTGTGTAGATGATATAGACGTACATAACATAGGCGTACTTATTTCTAGAGTGTCTTAACTTATCTACGTACACGTAGTGAAATTAGGTAGCAAAGCGCAATTAATGTACCGCGGTCTCGGCCCGGAGCAGGAGACATAGTTTTTAGTCAGTAAGAGTCTGAACCTCCCTCTTGCCCCACACAGGGCAGGTAAAGTGATTTGATTTTCCCCCGTTAACAACAAAAATAGTTTAAATAATAGTAGATAACAAGTAACTAATAACACTAATTCGCTTAGTAACTACCCACGTGCAAACAACTATTTTATTATACTTAAACCATTAAGTGGGTTTTAAAGACTCACATATCGATTGCATTAACAATAAAAATCTTACGAATCTAAAAAAACATACCTAATAGTTTCGTGGGTGATGCATTGTTAATTTAGATAATTAATTTACCAGGAACGTAGGCATGTACCAAAGCAGGCTTCTTAAAAGCTTAAATGTAGTAACCTACATTGTAAGAAGAATTGAAAAACAGTTCGTGTCATGAATAGGACGGATACAATCCGGATAAACATTTTTTATTTCTAATTGATAGGCACTAATATTTAGTAGGTATCTAGTTATTTTAATTATAATAAAGTAGTTAATTAGGGGCACGACTCAACCTTGCTCGGATTTAAGATCAAATCAAAATTTCATTTTCTTTTTAATTCAAACCGATTTGGTCGTTACAAAAATTTCGAGAGCTTTTTATTTCAAATTATTCTTAGGTGGATTCATTTTTTAATCCTTGCTTTTCTTCGTAGTTCGAAAGTAGATAAACGACTAATCCTTTTTCGTTCCTAATACTAACATTTCACTAGTACCTAAGTAGTTGTATCTAATACAATTGTTTTACTAATAACATATTATTGTTTTAGCTGCTACAATAGAACGACTCGCCTCTGAGATCAGCATCCATGCCATTTGCGCCGCGCATGCGTACTTTGTAGTTTAGTCAACAAATGCTTTTTTTTTTCAACTTTATAAGGTTTTTATTGCGTTACCTAAAGCAAAACGTTAGGGATATTGTTTTTTTTACTTCTTCACGTTTTCAAAGACATTAATTTTACGATAGAGAAAGTTGAGAAAGCAATTGCTGACTAGATTATTGTACCACTATGGTAGTTTTAATCCTTAGATTTTGTGGTAATTTCAATAATATACATTGTGTTATAGTGGAATACGTATGTGTTCTGTTCTTTTTTCAACATTTGAACACGGGTGTGATTTTTAACCTTTTATCAATAGGGTTGTTTCCTCAATGTAAATAAATTACCTACACATCTATAGAATATATGATAAAAGCGTCAATCACCCTATTATTTTAATTTATTTTCAGAACTTTTGTGCGTTATTAAGGAGAAATATTCTTTCGTTAATGATAGATGTTTCGAAAAAAGTATTGAATTTACCTAAATTGTTGGAAACTACCCTAATGTCTTCACGTTATGTTCAGTACCTATATCTATTGTAAATAAGGCACAGAATCACACAGTAACCAAATAGGTTTGTTAATATACATACTTATTATAATATGTTGCACTAGATTTGTAGCTTGGGCGCCAAAAAGTTTAAATTCCATAATTGGTTTCTCTCAGAGCTACTAAACTTATCCTAGGTAATTACTTAATTACCTATTGTGTTTTGTAGAAGTTTACCTAGAAATTCTTAATGTGATGTGTGTCAAATAATCTTATGTTATGGTTATTTAGATAGGTAAATAGATAAGCTCCAAGCCAATCCTCGCTTGCAAGCATGCAGTTGTCGTTGTGAATTTATTATGACTACCTATAGATCTAGTGTGACATATATGTAGGTACCTACTTAGGTACCTGTACAACAACTAAAATTTCACAAAAATACCAAATTAGATATTAGACGAAAGAATCTCTTTTTTATATAATTGTATTAAGTGTTATTTAAAATTTTGTTAAAGTTTAGTTCATAGCGTAATTAATTATTTTAGATGTAGTTCGCTTGATACAATTTGATGGTGCCTAAACATTTCCTTTCTATAATTATTGTGCCTACTTATATTTCTTTTTCTCTTTTAGGTAGTAACAGATAATTACAATAAGAAACAATCCTGTAAATACAAACAATGTCGATGTAACTTTATAATCATGTAATTTGCTGAAAAAGAGAAATATTTTTGTCTTAAACTCATTTTAATCCCTTCATTGCTCATGAGATTAAGAGCCTGTTAAACAATGTTTAAACGAGATTTCTGTTCATAGTTACACATAAAGAGAAATGGACATTCTGTAAACATATAAATATGTCAGTTAAGCTTTCAACAGCTTTATTATGCATTGTTAAACAGGCCTATTACCTACTCGTATAATTATCTTCGAATGTCTAGTCTGTACCTACATAACAGTAATGAAGACTATTTTTATCGAATAAACTACAAATATTTAACATTCGATTTTTGAAAGGGAGTTAAAAATAATAATTAACGAGATTTGATGTAAGAATCGTGCCAAGTGCCCTGATTAGTTGAATACAATTTATTGTAAGACGGAAAAAATATATTCCTTTCAGAAATCCAATGTTATATTTTAACACGAAACTAGTTTATACAATTGTATGATAAAAAATATTTTAGTAATTATTTGCTCATCGTTAATGTTAATTTGACACAATGTTACGATTTTGTTGGCTATTTTGTAATTTTTTTTTATAATAAATAATCTCACGACCAATTATAGTCATTACTTATAAGCAATTATGAATTTTGATTCCTTGTACGACTTTACGTAGGTACCTATGCATCCCTTCTGTCCCTGATAGGTACGTACATTTGCTTAGGTAGGCTCCGAATGGTACGTTAACATGCTTGGCAAGTCTCAACGAGCATCCACAAACACAAGTGTGTGAATGTGTCTGGCGTGGCTTGCATGAGTTTGTCAGAGATTCAATCCGGTGTCGGTTTTTGCACACAGGTCAAAAGAAATTTGAGACAAGCGTTTGCGACGTATTTACTCGTTGTCGCGTGTTAGGCTTGGAGCTCGTGGACGTTTGCCAAGTCTCAACAAGCGTGTGAAGGTACCATAATATTTGCAAGTAAACATGCTTGAGAGACTGAGCACAGCATATTGTTTGCTGGCAAGAAATATAATGGGTTTGAATAATGAAACATGGCAGCGGTTCCGCCAAGTCGATCGTGATAACTACAACACTCTGAGTGTAAAGTGTTCTATGGAATACAAAGTACTTATCGTACTTACATCTAAGTAGTATTTTATCGTTATTACCAAGGTGTATAATGAATCAGTTTACAGTAGATACATATACCTACAACATAATTATTTTTTCCGTCTATGGCATTTCGGTAAGTTCTAACAGGAAAAGTCTACCGAAGTTCATTACCATGTAGGTGCATATGTCGCTAATTTCGCTTAGGAGTATATTTCGCTGATTCGTTGTTAGATGAAGAGGGTATATCTATAAGGCTGGACCTAACAAACCTTTTCACGTCTGTCGCATATTAAATTCTGCCGTGTTTGCAACTAAATTGTAGGTAGTAATTGTTAATATTCTTAATAGCCAACGCCAAAACACAAACATGCTTTCTTCACCTTTGATATTCTCTATACCAACATTCATTACCTCTTCTTTAGATATTTTATAATTTTATAAAAGCAATCGGACCGCCCAACCGGTATACAGACCTAGACTCACCCATTATTAAAATTATTAAATGCACATTTTAGTTTTGTTTTAAACATTTTGTAATATAAAAAATTTGTTAAATAAAATACTTGATAAAATTGTGTACTTATTTATTATAATTGATTGTATAAAATTGGCAGTCTTCATTGATAACATAATATATAATATATACACAATTAAAATTACAACATCTTTAAAGTGACTTAGCTTTTGGTTACATTACAATATTATAAGCATAATAAATTTATCATTGGCCATCGTTCCCAGAAAAGAGATCTTTTCTCTTTGATAAGGTACAGGGGTTAATTTACGTACCTCTTTATATCAAACAAGCCATTAAAATCATGACATTTCAGTTGCTTGTTTTGATTAACTACAAAGAACTATAGTCAGAATTTTAATTCGATTCCTGATTTGACATGACCTGCTGTCATTTTGTGAAATAATGATACCACATTTAACAGTGTAGTGATGAACACAAAAATCGATAAACAATCAGTGAATCAGTTTCAGGAAGGTTTCAAAAAATTACGGCTACCGAATGGTCTTAATGCGTATCCCATGTTATCAAAGAAGGGGAAAAAATGAGTTAGCTAGAATTATGTTAATTGACAATAAATATCAAAGACAAAATTCATAGTAAATGTTACAGGAAGTAACAGCGATAGAGATATCGATAACGGCGACCATTTATAAGATATCTGTTTTATTTGTCATGTTCCTTCATGATCACATTTTTTATTAATTTCACACACAATTATAAAAGAAAAGTCTCAGAACGTTAATTAGTTGTCAAAACTAAATTATCGGTTCAGAAATATTTTATTTCCTGATAAACTAAGTTTACGAGAGTAAATTTATAAACGAGAGGAATCGATTCAGAAATATTCGATTTCCATATCGAGTAATTTCGCAACGTCACTATTTAATACGTGTCATAATGTTACAACACTGAAATTGTCAAATCTGGAATGGAATTAAAATTCCGAGTATAAATATTTTGTAGTTATTTGCAGTAAAACATTTGAAATTGTTAATTATCCCATTATAGAAGCACCTATTGAATATGACTATCGTTCTCAACTACGAAAAATAGAAGGCCACATGTCGAATTGGTTGAAAGATGTTGAGCAGTTAATGCAATTATTTATACATACCACCATTTACAGTATAAAACAATGCTCAAAACCTATAAAATGCTTCGTACGATAAAAAAGCTATTCTACTGTACCCGAGAGAAATAGTTATGTATAAATTGTGATATTTACACAGCAGTTTATGATAATAATTAGCTACATACATAAGTCGTCACACGTACTTATTGACTCCCTTCCACACAGAGTTGCCTTCCATCACACATTTGCAACCGCACCCTGTTGGACACGTGTCGTGTTGAGAAAACCTGAAGGAGGAAATAAATATAATGAGTATTGATTGCGCATGTACATGCGAATGTACGCATCTTCGTAGTAAAGCACTTTTAAATGAAATCACGCGTGTACTAGTGTAGGGGGCGGGAGTAGGGGGAGTGTACCAGTGCAGCATGTGCAGCGCGTGGCCTGCGTGCGCGCAGTAGTGGCAGGCGGCGGCGAGGCCGCGCACGGGGCGCGCGCAGACGGCGCAGCGCAGCGCCAGGCGCGTGTACTAGTGTAGGGGGCGGGAGTAGGGGGAGTGTACCAGTGCAGCATGTGCAGCGCGTGGCCTGCGTGCGCGCAGTAGTGGCAGGCGGCGGCGAGGCCGCGCACGGGGCGCGCGCAGACGGCGCAGCGCAGCGCCAGGCGCGTGTACTAGTGTAGGGGGCGGGAGTAGGGGGAGTGTACCAGTGCAGCATGTGCAGCGCGTGGCCTGCGTGCGCGCAGTAGTGGCAGGCGGCGGCGAGGCCGCGCACGGGGCGCGCGCAGACGGCGCAGCGCAGCGCCAGGCGCGTGTACTAGTGTAGGGGGCGGGAGTAGGGGGAGTGTACCAGTGCAGCATGTGCAGCGCGTGGCCTGCGTGCGCGCAGTAGTGGCAGGCGGCGGCGAGGCCGCGCACGGGGCGCGCGCAGACGGCGCAGCGCAGCGCCAGGCGCGTGTACTAGTGTAGGGGGCGGGAGTAGGGGGAGTGTACCAGTGCAGCATGTGCAGCGCGTGGCCTGCGTGCGCGCAGTAGTGGCAGGCGGCGGCGAGGCCGCGCACGGGGCGCGCGCAGACGGCGCAGCGCAGCGCCAGGCGCGTGTACTAGTGTAGGGGGCGGGAGTAGGGGGAGTGTACCAGTGCAGCATGTGCAGCGCGTGGCCTGCGTGCGCGCAGTAGTGGCAGGCGGCGGCGAGGCCGCGCACGGGGCGCGCGCAGACGGCGCAGCGCAGCGCCAGGCGCGTGTACTAGTGTAGGGGGCGGGAGTAGGGGGAGTGTACCAGTGCAGCATGTGCAGCGCGTGGCCTGCGTGCGCGCAGTAGTGGCAGGCGGCGGCGAGGCCGCGCACGGGGCGCGCGCAGACGGCGCAGCGCAGCGCCAGGCGCGTGTACTAGTGTAGGGGGCGGGAGTAGGGGGAGTGTACCAGTGCAGCATGTGCAGCGCGTGGCCTGCGTGCGCGCAGTAGTGGCAGGCGGCGGCGAGGCCGCGCACGGGGCGCGCGCAGACGGCGCAGCGCAGCGCCAGGCGCGTGTACTAGTGTAGGGGGCGGGAGTAGGGGGAGTGTACCAGTGCAGCATGTGCAGCGCGTGGCCTGCGTGCGCGCAGTAGTGGCAGGCGGCGGCGAGGCCGCGCACGGGGCGCGCGCAGACGGCGCAGCGCAGCGCCAGGCGCGTGTACTAGTGTAGGGGGCGGGAGTAGGGGGAGTGTACCAGTGCAGCATGTGCAGCGCGTGGCCTGCGTGCGCGCAGTAGTGGCAGGCGGCGGCGAGGCCGCGCACGGGGCGCGCGCAGACGGCGCAGCGCAGCGCCAGGCGCGCGCACTGCCCACAGGCGGGGCCTCGCACGGCGCCGCCGCACCGCGTGCACTCCGCGGCTAGCTCGGGGCCGGCTCCATTGCTGCAGCTCGTGTCACCATTCACCAGCTTCAGCACCTACGTACATAAAGTAAACCATTTTGCATTTGTCAAATGTAATGTCCAGAAGAGCCGATACAGAAAGGGCGAATTTGCGGGGAAAAGTTTCGCACGAAATCATTCGTGTTATACTATGGACCAATACATCGCGTCCACAAGCATCGCGCGAATTCAAAACAAGCGCGTGATTCGCGCGTAATGCGCGTGGATCGAGATACTAGGGACGTGTCGTTGCGCCCAGTTAACACGTGAACTCCAGAGCGGCTGCACGTATCCAGGGAAATGGGGGCGCCAACATTTTGATACAGTAAAACGCGGTGAATAGAATTCGAGGGATGAATATGAATACTACGAAAATTCGCCAACATCTATTTGGGTATTATCTTTTCACCCCGATTTCTACGGAATAATTTATAGACGAAATAGAAAAACGGCCGGTGATATGAGACCCGGAATCACTTGATTATGCCAACAACAAAATTTAAATTTGTCTCCAAATGCTCGCGCGTAGTGCTTGTCCGGACGAAGCGTATTCGCCGCAATTATCTCGTGCGTATTACGCCCAGAAAGAGCGACAGATTTACGCGCGAGCATTTGGGGACGAATTCGCCCTTTCTGGACAAGGTAGGAAGAATGTAGGTAGGAATATGTTGCGATTAAATCGTGCGTTTCATGAACGATCGTTTCGCCCAGAAAGAGCATACCTACGCGCGAGAATTTGGGGACGAATTTAAACATCCCACATCGCCGGCCGTTTTTCTATTTCGTCTATAAACAATTCCGTATTAAAATGTCGCTCCATTTTCCTGGATACGTGCCCTCCCTCTGGACTTCACGCATTAAGTGGGCACAACAAGACCTCCCTAGTATCTAAACATGGGCGCATCACGTGCGAGTCGAAAGTGGCGTAGTATATGCTTGTGGACGCGATGTATTGGTGCCTCTAGTATCTTATTAACGCGTGAATGATTTCGCGCTAAACTTTTCGCGGCGAATTCGTCCTTTCTGGATCAGCTCTAACACATTAGTACAATGGGAATAGTAACGTAAAGTAAGATTATAAGTAGAATTATTCAAACTTTCGGTTATATTGCACGTAATAGAATATGAATAAATGATTGTGATTATAATTGAAACTAACCTCAGTCTTTTTATAAATCAACTGCCAGCGATGCAGTATGTCCGCGTAAACTCTTTTAAAACAATGATACAAATGTACAGTTGCTTCATCGAGTACACATGACGAGGCTTTCTCGGACTTTGACACAGTGGAGTCGGTGTAGAAGTTCTCCGCTTCTGAACATGAGTTACTGCGCAGTACAATGGGGAGAGTCCAACCGTCTGCGCTTATCTCACTATATTGATTCACTGTACTGTATGGAGATGTGCCGTTACCCTACAGCCAAAAGAAAAATAAATGTTTTGCTATTTCAGTTACTGACATTCAATATTATTAATATTATTAGAAATTCCCTGAAAACATACAATACTTACATAACTAGACGTACTTATTGTAGATTGTGAACTAGAATTGCTTGTGTCATTAAAGACTGAAAAGGCGCAAGCCAACATTGCAGCCATCTGGAGGTTCGACGCTTTTGCGTAGTGAGATATTCTGGAATAATATTTAGTATGCGTTAGGATAGGTTTTAGTTACAATAATTTTGTAGAAAACCATGAGTTTACTTACAGGGATTGCAGCAGGTTACAACAAAGTGGGTGTCCGACCCAGCCCATGCTCTCCTCACTAGAGACGAGATGGTCAATGACACGCGCCCTCAGAGACCTCGCGGTCAAGGCTGCCAAGTCCCAAGCATGGGCCAAGTCTGTCTCACCTTCTTCTGTAGCTATTTTTGCATTCTTTTCGCACATCTCTGTCCAAATAACATTAGGTCACAATGAAGTAGAACTGTTTAGAACAGTTACATCAAATATATGTATCTCTATTTTTAATTTTAAGTTCTTAAATCGAATTCAAAAGTAGTATTAAGGTCTTACAAACCAATGGGGTTGTCAGCATTGATGACATATTTCTCAGCGAGGTTACGGCTTAGCGGAAATAGGTTAGGGGCCGCATACAAAACAACTCTTGGCGCCACGCAACCAGATATGCTGCCGCGACTTCGCATGCTACCGGCACGACGACCTTGTGCTTTCTGGTGAGGCAGAAAAATAAAAAAATAGCGTTTACATACTTTTTGGGTGAAAAAACATGGCTGTATAGTGTATATGTTATTATTACTATATATAAAATTGTAACTTACCCATCTATCTTGAAAATAGAACGTAGTAATGGAATTCGACGGATGTCTGTGATGCAACTGTGGAAAACCAGACGCGTTTGTTGGAGACGGCGTCGTGGTCGCGTGGGGCGATACAGAGTTATATCCAGTAGTCCCAAACAGTCCCGGAGTGAGCGATAGCGAAGACATGGACCGCGGAGTGCCTGTCTCGTGCTTCAGGGACAGACGACGGGCATTTGGAGGCCTATTGAACACCACTAATGTGCTGACTCCGCACCATTTGGCCCCACAAGTTCTAGGGAATGGGATACACGAGTCACCAGCGTTTTCACTCTCTGACTGACTTCTTTGGCTCGACTTCATTGAGTCAGTGTCGTCACTAGATTTAACTGGTATCTACAAATTACAAGTACAATTACTTTAGTAAAATACGTGTTTTTGTTATCATAAATCTGAAATGTTTCTCATGTTGAAGTATATCGATTTTATCAAGGGAAATTCCAAATTAGTGAAACCGTGCGAAATATTTTGAATTTACAACTTGATAATTAAATGGGTAAATACCTCGTCAATAGATGTAGCAAGTGTTTTCAAGCAGTGCAATAGACACCTGTGACCTTCCTTTTTCTTACGGTAAGCAGTTCTATTGATAGATTGTAATATTTTAATTGTAGTGGGGCTGTCGACGTTTGTTCCAGACAGCCAGGAGAACTTTGGTATTGTTTGTTCTGTAACATTTCTGGGGAAAGTGACTTGGAGGTTAGCGATGTAGCCATTGCGTTCAGAGTGTATCTGGCACGTCCGCGTCTCAATGTTCATATCTGTAACTTCGATGTTCGCCATCTCACGAATAGATTCAAATTCTTCATCTATCGACGTGTTAGTTTTGTGCGGTAGTTTATTCTAAAAGAAAAAATAATTATACATTTATAAATTGGATATTGACACATCATAACTTTTTTAAATGATAGTACCTAATGAACAGTAATTTTTATGATATACAATCGCGATCAATTGTTCTAAAAATCGTTAACATTCAATCAGAGCCTCTGATGGCCTCGAGTTTAAGGAACTTGCTTATCATGCATCACGGTTCAGGGATTCAGGCAAGTCATTTATATTTGTGTATGTGTTCAAAAAGTGCGTAATTTCGAATGAAATATCTTACCAATGCAATATCTTGACCTTTGTTATCTCCTGTAGAGATATCAGTAGTGGACCCTGCTGTTGATGCATAGCTAACATCTGAAATTATAACAGGTTAGTGGATGATTTTAATATTTCACTCAAGTATATTTTCTTTGTAATCTGAATTACTTACTGTCACTATTATTGTCATCATCATTATCCCCATCATCAGGCAAATAATGATTGCACATCTTTAACAATGAGGGATGCATTGTCCATACTCTAAGAGACTGGTCTCTAGCCCATGTCACTAGTTGATAGTTGTTTGGTGATGTGTTTGGTCTCCAAACCATAGTTTGGACTGTGTCAGTATGTCCCACCAGTCTGTGAGTCAGGGCCCCTCCTACCCAAATACCAATCACTCCAGCCTGTTCTACTCTAGGCATCCCTCCCCACCCTACACCTATAGTGAGTAGACCACTACCAAATGGTGTGTATATTGCTCTCCACACTGGAAAGTTTGTCATTATCACATTCTCTGGTCTTCTTGCATTGTTTATATCAAAATATTTTATACTTCCATCATGACTAGAAGTAACCAATTGGTATTCATGATGAGGGCTCCAGTCCACTCCATGTATTTTGCAGAGATGTGCAGATATATAGTGTATAGGAGCAGAATGTTTGCGGTAATCCCATATTTTTATGTCACCATCATGAGCTGTGGCAACTATATGGGTGGCTACCTTGTTCCATTGCACTTGGGAGGCACCAGCTGAAAGTAATCATACCAAATCAAATTATGTATATAAATTTGAAATATCATATCTTATTATTAAGCTCAACCACATAGTAAGAATGTGAGTGTTTAAATAGGGAAAATATATATATATATTTTTTAATAATGTTTTTGTCTTTTAATATGTGTATAGCTTAAACATACCAACTGCACACAATGAAACAACAGGTTTCCTTGCATCTCTCAAATCCCATAAATGAGTGAAAGTGTCAATAGAACATGTTGCTATTAAGTTGTGATCCTGTCTGTGAAAGTGAGTGTCGCTGACTACTCGAGTGTGTCCACGAAGTGAACAGATACATGTCAAGTCATTGCCGTTACGCCACTCGTATACATCCACTCTTTGGTTACTCTGCAATGATGGACATTATAATAATATTATAAATAAATTAATATAATGTTTCTACTTTAAAATAAGCAGTTTTATTGAATTCTGTTAACACGGCATTTTCTTTATGTAAAGTTTAATATTATACCCACCTAAATATTTATTTAATACCCACCGCGATTGCGCAGAGTTTCTGACCATGGTAAGACTGACACCACTCGGCACCGGCTGCATCATACTTGCTGTGGCGAGGATACTTTTTGACAATATCTCCAGAGTCGTCATCCTGAGTTATTTGTTTAATCGCAAGCCACCTTCGCCCCGCTAACAGCACATTGTTGCCGGAATAATCCACGGACATAGCCGTAGCTTGAAGCTCGCGATACTCCCATTTCATAATTTCTGAACTCCAGTGAATAGACATTTTTTAACAACTTTGAAATTATGTACTATTTAAAAACGTAATAATAAAAGCATGATTTAGTTAGTTACGAGCTTTTGTTCATATTTTCTAAGTGGATCATTTGATAAACAAGAGTGACATTTATTTGACAGATCAATGACATGACAACACTAACAAAAGTCAAAACACGCAGCGCTTTTTCCTTTCACGCAGTTTTTCATAAAAAATCGCCAGTCATAAAATTTAATAAATGCCTAGCTAATGAGGTTTTTGTTTCATTTAAATATTTTCAAAGATTTAAAAGCATTAAGGATACTTAGTTAAGTTTCAAATTCATAAATATATTTTTAGAAGAAAAATTATAAACAAAAAAGTTCAGTTTTCTTACTTCACCGTCTGTCACTTACTAAATGACTTTATAAGGCAAAATTGTCAAAATGTCAATGTCAATGTGACAATGTTTATGTAGTGGCGATGAAATCCGTTGAATTCCGTTGTTTTGTGATAGTAATTAATCGCAAATAGTTCGAATTTTATTTTCTGATAGATAATAACTACAAATATCAATATACTCACACAAAATGGTATACTTACTATTAAGTCAGCTATAAATAAAAATGATAGGAGGGCTTATTTGTTATTTTTCATAGAAGTTTGTTTGTAGCATAATGGCATTCTTGGTGAGAAGATTGCGTCGAACCTTTACTCATCTAATTCCGCGTCTATTTTTTGGTTTAGTTTTTATATATGTGTATTGCGAATATTTAATTTATTATGTTACTCAAATCCAGGTAAGTTTCATTCATAAGTAGAAAAAACTAGATAAATATGAGACTATATTAAGCGCCTCTTTCACTACCTATAAGTATAAAAAGCCAATAAACTTATTTCATCATCAGCCTATAAGTGCCCACTGCTGAGCATAGGCCTCTTCTCATATGGAGAAGGTTAAATAGTTTCAATAAACTTATTTGCCACATAGTTATTACAAATAATGTTCTATTCAGACCCTGTGGGACATTGCTAAATCTTAATCCTCTTTGTAAATAATTTCAGTGTGGCTGGATAATGTTGAGTAAGGAACCTAATGATGGTGTTGAGCCAGTCTATGCTATGGTTATAGCTGACACACATCTTCTGGGCTCTCGGAATGGACACTGGTTTGACAAATGGCGGAGAGAGTGGCAGATGCACCGAGCATTTCAGACAGCTATGACACTCCATAGCCCAAACGTGGTATTCGTTTTAGGTATATGCATTTGTATTTTAAAAAATAATATAGCCATGAGAATGTTTAGTTCACAGATTTTGTAGTTTTGGTATAGACTTTTTATTTGTGGGATGCATTATTATATTGCTTATTCCAACATAGGTGGAGCGAGATACCCCTGGCTATAATTTTTTCTCAATAAAAGTATCTCTGTTCCTTCTCCTCAAAGCTGGCAGACTTGTTTCGTAGAATTTAAATTGAAGTCAGACTAAGAGTAGAGTGAGATATTAAATACTTACATATAAAAAACTGTTACTAAAATGATTTTTTGTCTTCTAAATCGTTCATTATTTAAACTCCAAGTGAAGTACTTCTATTGGGACTCAAATTACCATGATGAAAGGTTAAGTGTGAAAAACTTCTTCTTAGAGGCTTTGTAGTAATTTTTCTACCATTTTTATAGAAGAATAGAGAAATAAATAATGATGATAATATTACAATCACTTAATTTTGTTTTTTAGGTGATCTGTTTGATGAGGGCAAATGGTGTCCAGAAAAGGAGTTCAATGACTATGTTGATAGATTTTACAAATTATTCAAAGTTCCTGATGGCACTGCCATGTATGCTGTTGTGGGAAACCATGATATAGGATTTCACTACAGGTAAGAAGTCTCTCATTTTTGAAAATCAATTTTTGTTTCATTTGAAATGCATATTATTTTTATTTTTTTGTAAATGTTCATATTGTGATTTCACTTATTAGTTTGAACTTCATTATTTATTTATGGTCCCCATTAATAATTTATTAATTATTTTAAAATAATAAAAAAATAAAGTTGATTAATTCATGTTTAAAGTAAGAAGCTTGCAAGAGAAGTCAGAATTGCTGGACCAGTTAAAAGTGATGTGTTTCGTAGGTATTGTAACTTTTCTAAATACCTGCACTCTAAACTTGTAACCGAAACAAAGTATCATTTTATGACGACATATTACTCACTTTTATTAAGAGTAGATATTGGAGAAATAAGATACTGTAAGTAGCTAGATACCTGTTCTCAATTTACTGAAAATAAAAACTTGCTCAAGCGAATTAGCTGATATAAGCTCTATAAGTTTTAAGTCAAAACGGGACTCTTATTTATGAGCTTACGGGCGGCGGCGCGGCGACGTGGCGACGTCGTGGGTTCGACTAAAAATATTAGAGGTTTGCTCAGTTAATTGATGTGACTAAGTTGTTATTTTCATTAAATTTGTCTGTCTCCCGATAGTTACTAATCAAAAAACTGTTCATAATGCTATTTACTTTTTTGTATTCGTAAGTACTTAATACAATATGGAATTTATTGTTATTAACAGTTCTTTACACAATATTTTTGTATCACATTGAATAAAGTTTGGTACATATTTTTATGTTCCACAGAATAACGCCCCACCTCGCCAAAAGGTTCGAGAGCAAGCTAAAGTCGCCACCAGTACAATTAATTAGCATCAGAGGGAATCACTTTGTCCTTATCAATTCAATGGCAATGGAAGGAGACGGATGTAATCTGTGCGCGCGTACAGTTGCCGAAATAGCCAATATATCAAGTAAGTTTATTTTAAATGTTTTACAGAATGTTGCTCCATTGTTGCTTTATATTAGATTACCTGATAACTATTTGCTTATAGTAACTACATACATACATCCAATACTTTATTAAAGAACCCTTGGAAAAAAAACTTTATGGAATGCAGTCGCCTTTCGCACTTCGTACCAACAAGAAAGTTACCTCAAAACTAAATATTAAAAAAATGACAAATTAAAATTTTTATTGAACATGAAGGTAGTCCTGAGTCGCGCAAGTGGGGTCAATTATTAAAAAATAATTTTATTTTTTAACAGATATATTGAAGTGCAGCAGTGGATCTAGTTTATGTAAAGGTAAAAAGAGACTAGAAAGTTATAGCAGACCAATTATAATGCAGGTAAGCTTTTAAAATATTTAGGTATATATTTTCTTCAGATTTACAACTGAATCCAAACTAATATTATAAATGCGAAAGTAACTGTCTGTCTATTTGTGTGAAATTTGGTACAGACATATTTTGTTACTCGAGGAAGGATAAAGGATAGTTTTTAAACCAAAAATCCGCAGAAGTCAATATTTCACGCGGGCTAGGTCGCGAGTAGAACCTAGTTTCTCTATAAAATTGTCGAAAATCGGTTGAATAAATAATTTGCAATAGTAATCGTATACCCATCGCCTTTAAAGGTCTCTCAGATATAAAATAAACATAATAATAAAAACATTATTTCAGCACTACCCTTTGTACAGAGAATCAGATAGTGTATGTACGGAACCTGACGCGGCCCCATTACCTGAAAGAAACGGATTGTTTGAGGAGCGTTGGGACTGCCTCTCTAAAGAATCAACGGAGTATCTAGTCGAGAATCTACATCCTCGAGCCGCCTTCGGAGCACACACGCACCATAGTTGTGTCGTAAGGCACAGCTTCGTGCCCACCCCCGATCATAAAATCGAATTTATTGAGTACACTGTACCGTCCTTTTCTTGGAGAAATCGATTGGACCCCAAATATTATTTGGTAAGTGTGGAAAATGGGCCAATTTTTTAATATTATTGTTTATATCGTGTTTTGAAACCGATATTTTTAGATATTTGGAGATAAGGCCCTTAAGGTTTATTTTTGTTATTTCCATTTAACTTGTTATGTTGTTTAATGTAATTAGTCTCCTGTAACAAAGAGGACCCGACCGTCATTCACTAAGTTCGATACTAAACTTCATTTCAATAACAGATAATTTGTTAGATAGTGGAACTCAATAATGTAACCAACACTGATTGTGAAAGTAATTGAAAAAGAATTGATATGGAGTTTTTGCTCGTTCTTTTCCATAGACTTAGTAGATCACCTACATTTTAGTACGAGCTACTGGCAATAACTAGAGGACTGCCTGAGAGACTGTCACACCTATAAATGATTGTTTGATGTTCAAAAATCGCCTCTAATGGCAATTAATTTAATTGAAATATGACAGAAATATATAATAACCATTTTGAATTTCACTTTTCCCGAAATATGAAAATGTTAATAACATTTGACTCAACCTTGTAATCATACTTGACCAACCAGGCATTTTATTAAATTTGTTATTCATAATTTAAAATTCCAGTTGACGATATCACCAGAAGAGGTGAAGGTCTCCAAATGCGGCATGCCACGCGAATGGACGCTGCAGATCACCGCTATATTGATGACACTCGCGCTCATAGTCTACCTCAGATACTACATAAGTGTCGATTCAATTAGTTATAACTATAAACAATTGTAAGTACCTAACTATTCTTACTCACTTATGTATATATATTTTTTTTAAACCGTAGTCCCATTCTCGCTTTTTCTCCTCTATCATGAATGCGCTTTCAAACATAACGAACTCTTAAACAATTTGGTTGCAGATTACACAATTTTTTTTTCCGCGCCATTATCGAATTCTCATTCCCCCTTATTACAAAACAAGATTTATCTTTAGTCCAGGTTTAAACAATGGAGTTGGGTTTTGAATTTTGAATATTATTGTCATCCGAAATACAAAAACTGGCTCAATGGTTTAGTCCTAGACTAAAGTAAAACCTTGTTTTGTAATAAGGCCGAATATGTCCAATATTCAGAATATTTGATCGAAGGTTGGTTGTTTATGCTGTTGACAGTTATTGGCTGTTACTAGATGGCGCTAATGTGACGTAAAGTCAATTCAAACAATAATACTTCGACACTATAGAATAGGCTATTTATTAAGGGACCTCAGATTCTATATTGTTGATAACTACTACATATTACAAAAAAGTTCAGGATAAATATTTTCCAAAATGGAGCTGTATTATTTGTGTAGATTATATTATGTCTCTTAGCTTCCCTACAACATGTAACCCTCAAGTCTGAAATAGAATTTGCACCATTTAATGTTACAGTATTTCCTTGTGTGTGTTGATGCAACGCAATCATGATAGTAACATAATGATGCTAGGCCACACCCTCAGATCACTGAGATAAACAGCGATGTTTTCGCTCTTGTTTTGATTGGTAGGACCAGTTTAAACAAGAATATGTACTTAGTCTTATATAAAACGCAGTGTTTACGGAGCAAGTGTGATAAACTCCGCTTGACCAGTTAGTTCAATCCAAATAAGATACACATACCTCTCTTCGTACATAGAGATAGAAAAGATTATTTACCACTTATCTGGGAATTTCTCATAGAGATAGATTTACTATGAACCGGATTTGGTGGAGTAAACAGACATTAATTATATGAGTCATTTAGTTGCATTGCGACTCATTTATTCTTTGGACCATTTTCGTACACGCACATCGCATCAGCCGCCTATAAGTGTGTTTGAGTATTACATTAATCACCATGCTTGCTCTGTGTGGATTGGTGATTTCAAACTTATAATTCGAAATTAATTAGTTGTCGATGTCCGGGTTTCTGCATGATCACGATGTTTTCCTTCACCTTATGTCAGTGGTGTCTGAATAATCATAGAAAGAACATATAACTCTGGAAAGTCACATTGGTATTTGCCAAGCTTCACACCACACGCCACACCTTCATGCACGAGATTCCTTTACCTCCGGGCCACCACGACTTCACTGATTATACAATTTTAATATATTTATTTCCTTGAAAATTTAAATGTCTCCAAAATAACCTGACTGATAAATTAATCCAAAACATTTTTCAAAAAGTCTGATTATTTCAGATAAAAAGATAAAAAACACGTTACAAAAAGTCCAGGCATCCACGGGATCGCTTAAACTGCTGTCCTGTAACCTAAATGTTAAAATAAATAACTACTAACTCGTTCAGTCTTTGTAAACATAATATTATTCGACTCAATGCCCCCAGTTATTGATAATACTAATCCATTGAAAATAGCATTTGATAGCACATTTAAAGCCTAGAATAGGAGAAAGAAAATCGTTATTATGTAAACATTATGTTAATGTGGCATTTCATGTATATTGGTATGTTCAATAACAAACAGCTAGGCACGAGTAGAGGGGCGTTGTGACAAGTCTGTTCATTGCCTATATATGTGATCCGATATATATGTGATCACACATTTATGCTCGTGAGTCGCGACTTTAAGGGTCATGCAGATAACAGGTATTATTAGTCTGAGACCAGAGAGTCAGGTACTTAATGCTAACTACGTTTTGAAAACTCGTAATATGCTTGTCTTGACACATACATATACCTACTTATCCCTAATCAAATGATTCAAGAAAGGGCCATATAAAATATTCAATGTGAAAGATCGTAATTGTAATTGGATTGTCGTTGTCTGCAAGATGTCTAAGGCTTGTGAAACGACATTGTTAGGACAAGAGTAATTTGTGAGTAAGAATTGAAAGGATCTCTTTGTACCGATTGAACTGGTGTGCATTGCTGAACCACGCTAGCAGTTAGCAGTGACTTGCACCTGGCGGCTCGTGTGTATGTTGCGGCTGCACGTTGCGATCTTTGTCAGTTGTCTGGTCACCTTAATACGAGACCATTAGCAGACCGCCAACCCGCCTGGCAAAAGTGACGAGTATTGCTTAGTGGGGCTAAGCAATACTTTTGGACGAATATATACATATTATTTGGGTAACTAAGTACTGCGCAATGTGTCCCGGTCTCGATTTTCGCAACGAAGGACTTTGTGTGCTCCACTAATTGTTGTTTCTGGTCCAGGTATGATGTGTACGTGATGACAGAGTAGGAAATCATCGACCTTTAAAAAAAATTACACCTTAACACCATCACTAGCTTGGTAAGAGACCACTGCTATTCTGCGGGCTTCGTCTACAAATGAGGGTTACGCCATAAATACAACTGTGTGATGGGAGGCGAGTTGAAGATCACAGTTTAAAAGAATTAGGTTTATTTAAAAGCTCTAATCTCGGGTTTCTGAAATATAAACATTTAAACTTATTATTTCCTTGTTTCAGGTCTGGAAAGAAAGTGTGAGACTGCTCAAAAGGTATTTATTTACTGAATGATATTATACTTATGCCGTACTTATTATCTGATATTATTTATTAAAGAAGAATTTTATCTATAATACAGTTTTAATTGAATATCCTCCTTAACTAATTGTCGGCACCGAGGTTGAGAGTTCACACTAATGGTAATAATCGGAGTTCAATTTACACATAAGTTGATGTATATGTATGTGATCGTAAACAAACATGCATAATACATAGCGGCACGTTTATTAAGCCTCGATAGAGTTGTGCAAAGGTTAATAATATTATCTCGCGCCCTTTGTGGAGCGGAAGTGAGTGTCCGTCTCTTCTCTTAAGAAAAAGATTATTCCTCCTCCTCCGGGCCGCGGTCCTATAAAATTTACCTAAGATCAGCTATTAATCAGTTACATATGAGATCCATGGGGAAGAGTAACGGATCTGTAGATCTGATTGCTATATTCCGGCCATAATTGCAAATAGATCCTGCTACTAGACTACACTCCAATATTGAGGTAGTCAAAAATAAATTAAACATTTTATGATGCCTTAATATACAACGGTACAAGGAAGACAGCATCAGTACGTGGTATAAAACAGTAGCTTCTTATGTGCCTATCCTTCTGTGTACTATGTCTGCTTCAGTCTTTAAAACTACGCAACGGATTTTGATGCAGTTTATTTTCGTAGGTAAGAGTGATTCTAAAAAGAGGTTGTTTTTTTATGAATATCCATTAAATAGTGGAGAAATTTAATATCAGAACTGCACCTGTGGTAAGCTGGGGAGGGTCGCTGGTTCAGTTACAAAAAATAAATGTAGACAATTAGACTCGGCAGTAGGTCGATGCCTTTTCGATTACTATAATCCTAGCGTTATCCTTTGACGTATGTTAGTAGATGATAATGTAATAAATTATAATCAAAGGTTGTAATAATATTGCAAAAGTATAAACAGTGTAACGACTGTCAGCTGTTTGTCTAAGATAATATATTTTTCTTCTTCAATTTTTAGAAAGAACGAAGAAAAATTTGCATTAGAAGGAAAACATACTAAGTAAACATAACGCTTACAAACAATATTTTATAATGACATATAAACATATAACTTATTTTATTCCACTCAAATCTCTCATTTTCACAGCTCTAGTTTGTTGTAGTTTAGTAACACAAGCAAATGTTTGCTTAAAAGGAAGTCTCCAACAATTATGTGTCAACAAATGCCTACTGTAATTGAAATAAACTTTTTTTATGCATACATTAAACATTGGACTCCACAGATGGAGTCTTATGGAGACTCCATCTGTGGAGGTAATAGGCTCTTCTCGTCGTACGCTGGGGTAGGTTCATTTACCTTAAAGTGTTGGTGACGGAAGATCGGCCATGGCACAGAGCTTATTAGGTTCGAGTTTGCATTTTATGTCGCTTACAAGAACGAATTGTAAGGCACTGCTTCAATCTTTTTACAATCTCTAAAGAGAGGTCCCTAGTTTACTAATTCGTTACGCGGCGATCATATACAAAGCCAATTCCAACCATTAGCCAATAGACGGCGCCACCAGACGCGCACCGTTGTCACAAATGTTGAAACATTCGAAAGATCACACCATCTTATATTCTGCTTGCTCGCTCCCTCCTCTCGATCTAATAACTGTATGTTCAGTGACTTTTGTAATTTTTAATAAATCTCCCTTACTCTCCCTAATGTTGCAAACCCCCGTTAGGGAATTGCATAACATTTCTACCATTAAATGATATCAGAAATTCAAATGGTAAGGTAATCAGGGATAATAACATCGCGAATTCTCTAATTTAGTCGCTGGTGGTTAGATATATCAACTGTCATATTTTTTGGCGAATAAAATAAACTGCTCTAATAAGATTAGGTACTTCAAAATGTTGAGTTATATTTCTGTCTAGTTTGAACTTATTTTCACAGATTTCACAGTTCATATTTATTGATTTGTACCTACTTCATCTTAATAATAACCGTTTACTTGTCTATCATTTTAAACGTCAAATCATCTGGATAATGTTAAGTCCAGATATGAAGATTGCTGAACCAAAAATTACCGAATAGCAGAGGGTTTAGGTACTTATTAAAAATGAAAATGTAAAATAATTTTGTAAGCAAAAAATTTTATTTTTTCAAAATTATAAAATAGTAGGAACATAAAAAGGCACTCAATGCTAATTAAGGTAACAGTAAGAATACATTAAAAATGAATACTGAGTTATACAAATATCTAAAGTTAAAATACAATTAAAGGACGTAAACTTAGTTATAACATGTGGGCAATACAGTTATCCCAACTCAAAAACAATTTCGCCAAAATTTGGCCAAAAAGATAATGTTATCGTTGGCCTGAAATTATGACGTACCACAACCGTTAACAAACTATTGCCCTGCATTGCCACAAATTGGCAAGAATAGTGGAGATAATCATTACATAAATGCAAATATCTTTGAATAATTACATACATTCGCTGCTTAATGAACGGAGGTAAAAGCATATCTACTCGGTACCTATATGGCCATTTTTGTTTTCACGAGACGGCGCTTATCAAAGCTGACATCACTGACCGAGGTTAACAGTAACAATAATTATTATAAAGTACAAATTCTTGGATAAGCAAGTCATGGTTAGCGAAATAAATTATATCAACTTATCACACATACACGTACCTACTCTGTTTGCCCTTACTATCTCGGTTTAAGAAACTTTTGATGTGATAACAGGCTTCTAGCATATCTAACTTATTCTAAAATAAAGCTGATTTGATAAAACTTAACAAAAATCTAACAATTAGAAACACGTACGGACTTTGCCCTGATAGGTAAATAGAAAGTGATTGAGAGATTAGAACATTCTTGTTTCGACTCTTGACCACATTTCCACTTCATCTCCAACCTTAAAAACTGGACGATGAAAATACCTTCTTGGGCGAATTAAATTTAAATCTTAATTAGTTTGACCGCACACTTGTCTGAAGCACTGGGTTGTTTCATTCAGGAATGTCACTGAGACGGATTCCACCCGGTCGTCGGTACATACGTTCCTGCAGGGGTAGTTCCCCGACCAGGAACCGTTCTAATGCTTTGATGGCCATGCGTGAGTGTCCCGAGCTACGGAAGGCGGTGCTCGCATCGTGACCCGCGTACTCAAACATGATGTCGGCTCCACCAGGGTGCTGTAACAATAGGAAATATCTGTTTAGCTACAAGTGTATTAAGTTAAGATATACAAAAGAAAAGGTTTTATTTAATGTGTGGGTGTAAAAATATGTTGCAAAAAAATGAACGTACCTCATCAAAGAAGTTGGTGATGTCGTATACTCGATCGTATATGACCACCCAGCAATCTTGCGGTGAGTCATGTAGCCTGACTTCTGCCAGGGTGATCGTGCGATCTTTAGCCTCCGGTGCTCCCGGGACTATCTGATCTTGCCATTTGCTTTGTTTGGTCTCTACCGACCAAGGGTTCACGAAGCGCAGAGCTGCCATCGTCAGCGCCATCAGATCAATTTCTGATTGCTCCTGCTGCACTGGTAGAGATGCTGAGAGGCTCATCTCAGTAGGGGTCTGTACTGCTGCCATCTTGATTGATTTCGATATTTTAACAAAAAAATCTTCTTGACTCGTCTCGTCGACCAGACACGTTAGTCTCCTTAAGTGATCTAGACTCGATTGATTGATCGACCGCTTCTCACTCTGTAAAGGAATTACGAAACCTTATTAGTGTCTGCATTTCATTTACTTTTAGGGTTGTCAAATGGTATATTTGTTTTCCAGATTAGACTTCGTGGTAATAAAAAAAATATTTGAGGTCGAAGGTGCCATGTGTGTTTGTAAACATCAACAAAATGTTTGATGGAAAAACAATAATTATAAATTAGAGCAATCAAAATGATTATGGAATCCGTATCAGCCCTGAGCGAGAGCACTAGAGCGTGAATAGTTTGAACACGATACCGTTAACTTTGTATCGGTTTACGTCTAGACTCCACAAACCACCACCAAGGAGTTAGCAACATTTTCCTATATAAGGCAAACTAGAGTCAGTTTTAGGTGTTGTAACCAATCAACACTTGTGTCAGACCACGATTTTGAAGTGATACCGAGGTGACCCCTAATTTTTAAAACACTAGATAAGAAGTCTTTTATCAAAAAAGTTTTGGCAACTATTATTGTAAGTGGCAAGTTATCTCATTTATTTGACGCAAACGAAAAGTTCATTGATAAAAAGTAGACAATCTTTAACCTCTACATACATTTATTATTTTAAAAGTCAACTCGATCAGAAATCAATAAGTTTAAAAAAATAAAATAAATTTGTTTTTGACTGATTAATAAAAAAATACTAATTTAAATAACTTATTGTTGTTGCAGATTATTTGTTTTCCTAAAATATTTTCATGATATTCCAGAAAGATGTTTCGCGTATTTTTATTTATTTATTTACTTAATGGAACATAAAGTTCCACAGCAAAAATATTTTCAAAACAAATAATATTTACCTTTTAATCACTGCACTCGATCTGATGTTCTCTGGGTTATCTCTGTTGATGCTCGAATCGCGGGGAATGACTGTCACACCAATTGTCACTATGCCACAGTTGTTCGTATTTCAGTTTATTATTCACGATCTTAGAATGATGCATGAGAGCGTAGAACATTGCCACAAACTAATATCGTCTTGTCATCTATTACTTGCTATTTGTGAATGAGTGCTGAGCGGCGGCACGGTGACTTATATAGCGGGTGCGCACGCGCCGCCTCCGGCCGCGTCGTCTGATGTAAGTCGGCGCTATCTTGCAGCGCGCGCCGGCACGGGCCACGGAGCCGCACGCCTCCAAACTTGTCGTGTGCTCAGTCTGACACCTTAGCACGACTTATCAGCATCATCACCAATATAGTGTCAGGATTACTCACACGATATTTTGACCTTCATATTGTCATACAATTGTTTATTTACTCATTAAACAATCGTTTGTATAAAGTAATAGGGTAGATAATTGCAGGACTTCCTCGCAATCAGCTCAAGAAGTTTTTGACTATAATAACTAGATCTAAATAGAAAAGACACCAATAAGAAAATACTACTACCATGTACAAGTAACCCAATCTAAAGTTTTCAGTTCTTCTCAAAGAAATGGGAAAACCGCCATTCAAATCAGTAAGCAATAGGATAAAATAATTAAGATTCACCCCTTCCCAAAGTAACTCATTTACCAAGCCTTTCTTTTTTAACGGAATGACCCAATATATTATCGATATATGTTAACTATGATATTATTTGCTTACGTGTGACGTAGGGCGGTGAACGAACCTTCGTCACTCTCATCGTACGAGATCACAAACAACGAATTCACGTCATTGTGTTATCAATTATAAGATTGCAACGCATTTTATCTTTTCCCAAACAAGTGTATGACCCAATTTCCGCATAATAATATGTATTAATTATATTCTGTTATGTATTTTGGTAACCTAATGACGTTAGCGATGAATGCCCTTTACTTGTGGCATGCTAAAAGGTTTCCATGTGAAAAAAAAAATGAAAAAAAAGAAGTGAAAAATTCCTTATTGTAATTTATTTATGTTATAAGTAAGACCTGTTCATAATACATAGATTTGTATTCTGAAGTATCATATTCCATTAAGGTTCTAATTTTATTTCATTAAAAATAAAGATTACTTAATTATTCTTCTGAATAGCTTTATCATTTTAAATGTAGGTACTTTACTTGTTTTTTGCCTAAATCCGGCAATATGGATTAGCATAACAATAAAAATCTATATTCGATAAGAATTCAAGATTTTTTTGAGTCACGTTATTTAAGTGAATTTATTATTAAATTCAAATTTATAGCTCCTTTATACGGCATCGATGCGTGAAATCTTTATAAGTATTTAATTATTAAATCAAATTGAACACTTTAGTGTGCTTGTATGTATTTCTATTTTGTATAACATAAAAAAAACTCAAAAATACTTTTATTTAAAAAAAACAGCATGCTCAAAAACATGGCATGTTAGTATCCTTCCCGTCCTTGAATAATAATTACGTATCAATCCGTTAAATAATAATACATAATATTATTATGCACATAATTATATTATCTACATAATATTATATCTGATGAAAATACTTTTTGTGATTGCGTTTGACTATACAAAACATCTTCACCTTTAATAATTAAGTAATCAGTTATTCCCATAATAGGATGACGCAATATTACTGGGCAGTTGCTTTCTGCCGCTTCAGCGTTTAAATTGTTAGACTCAGGTAAATGGTGAAGGAACAATAAGTACTACTCGGGTAGCATGGTCTTTACAGCTTAGTTTTAAGTTTTACATTGTGTTTCAACTTTGAAAACGTATGCAAATTTTTAGGGGATTAAGGTTCTTAATACTTTACTTTGTGCTACATTGGTATCTTTGAATTAGGTGACAAGCATTAATTAACTTTGTAAAACACTCTTCTAGAAGGTGTAGCACTGCAATTCATAGACTAAACGGGTAGTTTTTAGAGTGGCAAATCATCCACTGATTTCTTCCACCCTGAACAGGGTGGGAGGAAATGTCATACTCTTACTGACTAAAAACCATGCCGGCGATCCCGATCCTTCTCCTGTTCTGAGCGCAGAACATCATTGCAATTGCACCCGCAGCTGTGGCTAGTAGTACCAAAACTGTTGAGGAAATAACCTAGAACTGTTAGAGGGAAATGCTTCAGTATCGCTGTAAAAAGATTGCTGCAAAAGAATCTCTACATTTTACATTAAGGATTTTTTATCTATGTTTATGGATATGGTGTAATGTCTGTACTGTTTTCGTTGAACATTAAAATAAACTCTAGCTATCATTTTGTTTTGAATAGAATATCTGCTACATATACAGAATATATTCATATACTATAAGTAGTTAAATAAATATCATGACTAGCAATAACTGAAAACAAAAACAAATAGATTTTTAAATTAATGTCGTAAAAGGTTGCGACTATAGAGGTTCTTCCAATTTGAAAAAAACCTTCGAAGAGTGGAAACTAAGGACACTTCTGATTAGGTATTGCAACATCCTTTATTAGTAAGCGTGCTATGCCGACGTCGGCATACAGTAAAAAAGGAGTAAGTATGTCTAATACGACGTTTATAAATGGTAAGTATTTTTTCTGGTAATTATCAAGATCCGATTAATGGCCAATCATTGGCGTAAAATAAGTGGTTTTTTCATAACTAACTAATGTTTGACTTAACTGTTCAATTTTGGGAGATCAGTAACTATATTTTTCTCGAAACTGCCTGAACTCTTAAAGAATCATGATGTTATCAAAAGGTTGGGCTAAAGGAACATTAGAGTACAATCACACAGTGGGGGCTATTTTATTTACCTACCAACTAGATAATACATGGATGTGATAGAGAGGCCAATGCTCGATAGTGGAAATACCTACTAGTTCTGTAGCTGTGACGACAGCAAAGAGGGAATAAGTACGAAGCTCAAATCAGTATCAATAGATTTATGTGTGACGTAGCCATTTCATTGTAATTACACCAATAGATAAAATGTTGTGGCCGATCGAAAATAAATGGTATTTCTACGTACGTAAAACATTCATTAAATCATCATCATCATATTTTCTACAAAATAATGCGTGACGTATTCAGGTCCAAACAATCAATACGCAGAATTGACGTCACAAATGTTTTCAAGTTAAGTAATAACATAAGATGTTGTGATAACATGTGCGAACGTGCGGATCGAGCCTTTTTTTCTAGAATTGTGATGCGATAATAATTCTTTATTCTATGTAAATATTGTATAGAATCTTATATGCCTATCATCATAAGCATATTAATGCCAATGGTTTATTGGTATAAAGTTTTTCAAATGATGTAATGGTAATTAAAATACATTTAAATGATTTATTTTGAACACTTATTTGCTTTTTATTTCATTTGTACAAAACATACAGCTAAAGCAATAAAGTTATATAATACTACGTAGTTTAGTCGCTTTTTCTGTTGACATATCCCTTTGAATGCTAAAGTCTTCAACTACTGAACGGATTTTGATGCAGTTTTTTAAATAACCTAGAGTGATGGCCGTACTAACAAAATCTGAAGTTGATAGAAATATTTGTTTTTTCATTTTAAGTCGGATCGTCAGTGAAGGTCGTTTTTACCAACATCTAAAGATTTGTTCAATATCTGAATTTTTAAATCCGTTGTCTATTTTAACTTTATTTGGTCTTCGATTGAATTAATATCAGGGTGATCAGCAAGTCAAGCCGGTAAAAGCGGTTAGCTGATCAGTTTCAACAAAATGATTTTAGGGTGACTAAAAGTCTATTTTATAAAATGTAAATTAACTGAATCTGTTATAATAAACTACGCCACAGGCAGAGCCTAGTTTTCTTTTTCTGCCTAACAATGTGAACCAATTGACATAACAATAGTCTAATCGAAGCGAGTAAAATTGTCGATTGGCTAACATTCAAGAGTATGTCTTTTTTGTTTACTTGAATCGACTAGCGTTTATACTAAAATCCAAGGCGCAAGTTAGTCCGTGTAGGTAAAACAAGTCTTAATTTTTCATGTTCGCCTATTAGACGTTACATCATTTTAAAATCCACATATCTCTTCTCAGGTCG